ATGGCTTAGGGGTTCCTATGATGGATTTGAGTTGTGGCCATTGGCCCTTAGGGGTTCGGTTTGGGTTTCTGCCTTTAGGTATTTCACTCTTGGGGTTAGGCATGTTCTTAGTTTACTGTCGGGTAGCTAGCTTTCTTTTGTCGCTTGGCGGTGGGGGTTATTGGTTCGTGGTCTATGGGAAGGATTTCAGGCGGGAGTAGTTTTTTCTACCCCAAGGGTTTTTTTAGCTCTGTCGTTTGGCCTGGTCAGGGGGGGGGGCAGTTTTTTAGGCATCATAGCTAGCACTCTATATGCCTTTTTGTCCCATAAACAAATAATAAAATGAGTCAAACAAAAAAAACAAAAAACAAATCCTTAGCTTTCAGAACATCCTCCGTCTCTACTACACCTCCGGTGATTGAAAACTCAATACCATGGTTACTATCGTGGCTTTTATCATCTAGCACCACCCCCTCCCCCCCATCTCCTCCCATCTAGCCTCGGCTATAGGAGGTGGGCTCGCTTCCCCTCTCCCTTAAGGCCCTTATTTATTTATTGGCTCTCTTGGTTCTATCCTTGGTTGGAGTCTTTCATCTTCGCAATGTTTCTCCTCTTCCTACCCCACCTCGCTTAGGTGTTGGCATAGTCGGCAACCCCATTTTCCACCTTCAACAGACCGCTGGGACTACAGTTGCAGTAGGAGAGAACAGCTTACAGGCTATGGTCGATCTCTCCATTCTCTTGCTCCCGTAAGAGGCTGCCTAGTCGGACATGAACGTGATTACTGATAGTTGTTGCTCATGGATTTGGGTCTACCTCTCCTCTCCCCTTCTCTATGGTCGGATCGGCTAGCACCCTACTACCACAATTGTTGATTGTCCCAGAGGGCACATGGTCGCTGCCACCCCTGCCACATACCTCCTCTCCTTACTTCTCGGTCACCGCCTTCGGGGTGGTTTCCCTTATACCCTTGGTGTCCGGGGCTTCGGCTCCCTCCTCCTGGCCCTCTTCATATGGCCTAGGGGTTCCTATATTGGATTTGAGTTGTGATCATTGGCCCTTAGCAGTTCGGTTTGGGTTTCTGCCTTTAGGTGTTTCGTTCTTGGGGTTTTGGCAGGTTCTTGGTTCACTGTCAGGTAGTTAGCTTTCTTTTGTCACTTGGTGGTAGGGGTTATTGGGTGGAGCAGTTTACGGGAAGGATTACGGATGGGAGTAGTTTTTTCTACCCCAGAGGGTTCTTTTAACTCTGTCATTCAGCCTGGTCCGGGGGGGGGCAGTTTTTTAGGCGTCATAGCTAGCACTCCATATACCTTTTTGTTCCATAAACAAAAATTTAAATGAGTCAAACAAAAAAAACAAAAATCCTTAGCTTTCAGAATCATTAGCGAACAGAGAAGAGATCTTATCAATATATTCGTTATCCTTTGATGCATACTTTTGTTACAAGCTTTCTTTACCACTCTCCAAGAAACCTTATTGGCCCCAGTTACAATTTGTCTGACTTAGAATTGGCTGCCGCCTAATAGAAAGTAAGGAATCAATTGCTCTGCAGGATCTCAGTCAGAAAGATAATGAGTATTGGTTAAAGACCTTCCCTGAGATAGCCAACAAGTTAGGAATTATTATTGCATACTCAACCTTAGAGATGATCTTTTACTAATGGCACAATATTTTTTGTTACAAGGTAGTACATAAACCCAACCTCTCCAAAAACCATATTGAAGCTTGTCTAGCTTTTTGCCCACATGGTCCTACAAATTGCTGTTAATACAATTGTATTCACAGACAAAATATTGGTTGAATTAGCAAACCATAACTTCAATGAAATATATCACATTATTATAGTATCAATAGTAATGAGTATACTACTCACAATAAAGACAGCAAAAACCAACCAATCTGAGTTATGTTTTAGAGGGTGATTATTCTAGGTACTAAGGACCCATATTATGTTTAGGAACAAGAGACAGTTCAGGATCAATAGCAGTATCAGCAGCTCATCAACAATGAAAATCAGAGAAATTACCAATAAGAGAAGTTTAATTGCCAACAAGCCCTGATTTAAGGAACATGATAACACTAAAACATTCTTGATATCAATCAAAATATTAAAGTAACAACTTATATAGATGAATAGATAGAAAGGAACAAGAGGAGGAAGCAAAAGGCTGAGTAAATATTTAAAGAGAAGGAGTTAGGATTTACAGGTAGGAGAGTCTAAGGTATTAATTGGGTCTTGTATCATAAAAGAGTTTTACATCCAAAGCTCTATACATGAATGAAATCTATAAAAGATAGATTACAAGTTCCATACCTCTATCTCATAGAGAATAATGTACCATATCATTAAACCACATACCTATTTAACAAGGGGGAACAACAAATACATGGTATCATAACCCTTGACCGGCCTTCTAAATCTTTAAATTTAAACCAGATTGAACAAATCTGGGGCTACAAAAAGGATGACGTATCAACATGGAAGTTTATAGGTAGTGGTAGGGTGGTCGTAGAGGGTGTGAAGAAGGTACTTATAGGAACTTGGGAGGCTTATCCTCAGGCTGTAATTGATCAGGAATGTCAAGCATTTTATGAGAAGCTTCAGAGGGTAATCCTCCGTACCAGGAATAACAACTTTAATGGCTAGATTTTGGGATATATACTAGGTGGTACCTAGATCTATGGAAGCGAGGCAAATTAAATTGCATGGAGGAAGTTTCTTCTTTCTATATCATATGTGATTATAAATTATGTTGCCTCGCATTGGTTTGCTATTGGTCTGACGATCCCTACTCTCTTTAGGTGTCCAACTTCAACTTGGCCGCGCATGTATGGTAGCTGTTGTACTCGCGCGGCCGGGTTGAAGTCGCGCACCCGAATCTAGAAACGATCCGCAGGTCAATAGGAATTGGTATGACTAATTGTATGCTATACTGGATTCAGCAATTTATTCAGGGAAATATAGCCACTAGACAAAAGTCTTAGTGATGCTGAGTAAGTAGTTACTCAGCAATGTTTTCCAAGTGAAGCGCATAGATATTGGAGAACGTGACACACAACAAAATACCTTCCAAGAATTCGGTTTCACGCCACAAGCCAAAGACAGCCCGAAGAGAAATGTCTGATGTGGAAAAGGGCATGATAATTGCCTTTTTCCACATCTTCGAAAAGATATCAGTGGTCGCAACCCTGGTAAACCGGCCCTGGTCAACCGTTCGCAACTTCCTTGCCCGAGCATGCGATCAAGACCATATAGAAAATCCTCTCCACTCAGGAAGACCAATCATCCTCAGCCAGCGGGAGTGCCGAGTGGTTGTGCATGCAGCGACCAAGAACCGAAGCATGACACGGCTAGAACTCCGGAATCGCCACGCGCCCCATGTTTCAACCCGAACGATCGATAGGGTTTTGCGCGAAGCCAATATTAAAAAATGGCTCGTGCAAACCCGCCCTCGATTGACTGCTCCCCACGCCAAGAAGAGGTTAGAGTGGGCTCTCACCAGGAAGGATTGGACTGCCGAGGACTTTCAGGGCATTCTCTACAGTGATGAGTGTACTGTGAGAAAGTCAGCCAATCCAGCTCAGAAATAGGTTTTCCTTACCCCAGAAGAGAAGTGGATTGCCGACTGCATTAAGCCGTGGGGAAAAGCCAACGAGGTTGGCTTGCTGGTATGGGGATCCTTTTGGGGGGGGCGCCGGGAACCTTTGGTGCCTATCTTGGAGAGTACAGTAGACCGCTGGGTTTATATTGCACTATTGGATAGGCACCTCCTACCAGTCATGGAGGAGATCGCAGAAGAGGTTGGAGACCCCATATTCCAGCAGGACAATGCCCGGGTCCATACGGCAAAGGACACTCGTCAGTGGTTTACCGACAATGGGATTGACCTTGAAGATCACCCGCCTTTATCGCCGGATCTCAACCTGATCGAGCACTCCTGGGTCGAGCTCAAGCGACGCCTCTACATCCAGTACCCGGATATCTTGGATACTAGGGGCGGCCCTAACAGGATATGGGAACGGCTTGCAGAAGTGCTACCTATTGTTTGGGCAACCATTCCGGATTCCTTTTTTGAAAAGCTCTGGCACTCTATGCCTTCTAGAGTTGCAGCTGTTATTGATGCTAAAGGCTGGTATACTAGATACTAGTGTGATAGACTTTTAATTTTTAGTTTTAATATTTAGTTTAGTATTTAACTTTTAATTTTAAATTTTTTAAATTTTATCTAACGGCTTTTTTCGTGATTTCAGGGCAGCCAGAAGGGAGGGGGTGGGAGGCATTACGCGATTCGGAGCGGCACACATTGACTCATATTGCGCCATCACCAAGACTTTTGTCTAGTGGCTGTACTAACTTCTACAGTACACTTAATCTAGAGCATCATACAAATTCCTATTAGCCCACCGATCACTACTAGGTTTGGGTGCGCGACTTCAACTCGGCCGCGCGAGTAATGTGGTCCTTGTAGTCTGCACCGCACCCCACTATTAGACTAATTGCCGGACACATTCGGCGGCCATTGCTCCATTAGAGGGTTCGCGCAGTCTGGCTTACGGTATGATATGTGGGGCCTGGTGGTGTTGATAATGAGGGGTTACTACCTGCCCGCCTGCCACAAGTGTCCATGAGAGGACACAAGAAAAAAGAAGAAAAAGGAAAAACAGTTGTTCTTAGATTGGGTTCTTCCTCGTCAGGGCGTAAAGGTATGGCCGAAGTTGGCATTTGTGAAAACTCCACCTGAAGTCCGCTTTCCAGCTTTACACCTCGAGTACGATAGGCGGGATTAGGGGGCCAACCGGATCGTCGGGCCTTCCCAATAAATAGCCAGTGTTAGCATCATCTATAATTACCTCTCTCTGTGTTGTACAGTACTGTACTCGAGCACAAGCCCCCCATCCAACCTACAGCGGGGGGCAAAAATACGTTCACATTTTAGTAAGCCACAATACATCCGGTGGCAACCAGTGAATCCTTGCATCATCACCCTTACAACAACCTACCCTACGTGAATACCACAAATATTATATGCCTGACTATGACCTTCTATCCTGAACTTGAGACTCATTTTTCTCATAAGGATGGATCTGAGTTGATACCATATGAGCGAGGGATACTCGTGGGAATGAAGCGGAAGCGAGCTACCTTTGAAGAGATCAGCAAGGAAACCGGGGTTTCACGGCGAACGATTCAGAAAGTCATAAAAAGAGCCCGGACTGACCATGGATATCAGGGTCGAAGCCTGGTAGGAGGTAGAGGAAGGCCGAAAAAGCTTTCAAAAGATAAAGAGAATGCTGTAAGTTATGAATATTATTTATACTAGTAATGAGTTAATTATGTTAGTATTAACAAAAGTAGGTACGTGATATGGCATGCAAGCATCCAGAATACAGACATGAGCAGCTAGTAAATGCTGTTGCCCCTGAAAAACAGCTCTCCACTCGAACGATCCGCCATTGTTTGAAAAAAGCTGGCATTAGAAAATGGATGGCCAAGAAGCGATCAATGTTAACCGAGTTCGATGCCTGCGGCTGGCTTGAATTTGCATGAAAATGGTCTCATTTAACGGTAGACGATTGGAAAAGCTGTTTTGCTTTTAGCGATGAGACATATGGGCGCAGAGGGGCCAATAAGGGCCGTTCTCAGCTGTGGTATTTCCGGAGTTCTTGGTTTACACCAACTCGATGGCGGCGATGCGGTCGGCCTAAATTTCACGGTCGTTTTGTGAATGCCTCTGGTCGTCAGGCTCAGCGTTGTATAGGAGTCATGGTATGGGGTGCGATGATGGGAAAGACAAGAACTCCATTGATCAGAATGAGTGGAGATCCTAATGCCTAAAGACATGGTGTCACAGGCCGTGTTTATTTACCAATCTTGGAACATGAATTGCCAATTCTAGCCCAAGCAGTTCCTTGTGGTCAGATCTTCCATTTTATGCAAGATGGTGCCGGTATTCATCGCTGGACTCCTGTGAAGGAATGGCTACAGCATTTGGAGCGTGAAGGAATTGAAGGGCATCCATTTAAATGGATCAAATGGCCTCCTTACTCTCCTGATCTCAATCCTATTGAGAATATATGGAGTGTCATGAAGAGTCAAATGGAGCGAAAATATCCAGAGCTACTGCAGATGGATATTGGAAGGCTTAGAGTTTCTCGATCAGTTATACAGACTGCGATCTTTGACGCTGCGAGCAGTTGCTGGAATCAGATTGCAGATGAGGTTTTTGAATGGGTGGCAGCAAGTATGGTTAAGCGGATTCATGCCGTAATCAAGGCAGATGGATGGTATACGAAGTATTAGGTGCTATTATGTTTTTTTATATTTTTTATCTGCAGGTTTCTCACTATCTTGTACTTTTTTTTGTGTTTCTGGATCATCACGCACTTTGGTTTTCTTGAGGTTTGTGGTTGCTACCAGATGTATTTTGGCTTACTAAAATGTGAACGTATTTTTGCCCCCCGCTGTATTGGGCCGGGAAGTGAAATCTCAATTGAAGTCCAGCAGCAGGGAGAGAGGAATTCAAAAGGGAAGGTGATATTATGGGTAATTAGCACCGTATTTTGGATATTCCCTTTTTTTTTCTTTTTTTTTCTGCTGCTGAACCCAGAGTTTTTGACTTTGGTGAAAATTCTACGTTTAGGATGTGAGCAAAGTTCGCATAGGAAAAGATCCCACTTTAGCAGCGTCGAACCGGTGAGGCCTTACGGTACTGCCCCCCGCCCCTCCGGATTGGGATACCTTTGCACGTTTTCCCTGACGTAATGCCAAATAATAGTATTGCCCCACCCAATGTAGTTAAATTACCCCCCCTCCAAACAACGATTTCCAAAGCAGTCACTCCGAGGTCTACCTATATCTGACGTATCCCCCCTATCTATCTCCTGGACTACTGAAACTCTTGGAAACTTCTTGCCACCTCGGTTGTTGTGTGAGACATGCTTAATAAGAGAGCAACACATCTAACACAGAAAAGCACAATCAAGACAAACAATGGTGAACTCAAGAACAATAGAGGGGTTTAGCCAACCGCGCGCCTATCAGTCTTCCGTGCTAAATTTCAGAGTTAGTTCCTAAGAAAGCACGAGAGCTGATCTTGTGGATTTAGCCAACCTGTGCTAATCCAAGTTTACTCTTGGTGATGTAATCGTGGCAAGCAAGATTTCAAGCCTCTTCGGACTGGTGGTCTGGGGATTTTAGTGTGCCAGATTTCTTGATAACTAATAGTGCTAACTTGGATGGGCTGTTTGTTGATAGGGATGCACGGATTGGAACACAGTGCTAATTAACACCGTTTACCAAATCGTGCATCTCCGATCAAAATATAAACACCCGGACCAGTGCCGTTTCCATGGTGAATAGCCCCGTTGCCTCTAGCAACAGCACAATCACCAATTAGCAAGGTGCTGCTAAACCCCCCTAATAACTTGAACGCTCAATAGTAGCAAGTAAACATCAAGATGAAAGAATCAAAATTACCGCATATGATAATGGCTGGAAGAATCAGATTTACGGAGAGGAACCGTGCAGGTAGAACAAGTAAAATGCGTTTGCCGCTACTTTTTCTCCGAAACAAAATCGACACGTAATACAAAATAGACGGTTTCCATTCGGAAGGTGGGTCAGTCCATGACTTGTACAAGTACCAGGAGTAATTGGGGGTACCGATAGTGGTTTTTGCTGGCATAGAGTGTGGTAGTTTTTTGTATATATTGTGATTGGTGGACTCGGAGTGATGATTTTACTGCTAGGGGTACTGTAAGAGCTGATTAAAATATATATAGGATCGGGCAGTTCTAGTGTATAGTAGGGACTTGGAGTACCTGAGTGGGGGGGCCGCGCTGTGGCTGATTGTATAGAATTAGGCAACTGTGAAGATATTGGTTATACCATAACAAGTGTACTTATCCTTGCATACTAGAGACTTTGCGATTTCGCATCCAGAGTCAAATTCTAGCGATCTTATTGGCCCAGAACCCTGTTTGACCCACATCCAGAGTCTTTCGCAAAGTCCCTACTTAGTACCCGGCAGGATTCATTCAGTAAATGGGTAGTATGGGTAGCAAGAGAAGTACAAAGTGCTTGGTATCTTGCAAGAGGTAGTACTGCGGTCAAGTTTTTCCTGTTCCTTGTCCAGCAGCTATTTTTGTCAACGAACAATAGAAATCATCAAGTTTACCGATAGTCAGTCTACAGGTTTATTTTGCAGCCTCATTGTGACATTGAGATCTCCCACAAAGACTCTAAAATTGGTTAGTTGCTACTTAGCACTAGCGCCCCCTCCGGGGGCACTATTAACAATCCCTTACCTTATTTTCAAATTATCGTCTTGGTAGGTAGCCAGCCCCCATGAAAGCGACAGTAAAAGGGTAGTATTGCCCGATACTGATTAGAGTATTCCTGAAACATGTGACTTTCTAGTCCATACTGCAATTCAAAGCACGTCTGTCTTAAACAGTGTTTGAGACACCTACGGGTGGCAAGAAATTTTCAATAGTTTCAGCAGTCCAGGAGATAAGTACCCCCCCACCCTTCCTCTTCCTCTTCTCTTCTCTTTCTTCCCCTACTAGGAACACCCCGGCTGGATCCTGCAGGATATTAGCACGGCATTGGATTCGCCCTCTTCCTTTCAAAGCACCCCACTCACTCACCTGGTGTTCACTCATGAGCACTTGCAGCAGAGGGAGGGGAAGGGTTGATGAGTAGCGGACGAGGTCAATGCCGGGCTCATAACCTGTTGGAATCATCCGAGTGTGTTACTGTGCCTTATCCATCTATCCATCGTGAGTTTTGAAGGTGGGTTTAGTCCCTCGGGTTAGGGTTTCGAGTGCTGACATGTGAGGCAGTGTTGATTGGTGAGAGATTTTAGCCTTCCCGGAAAGACCTCCTTCTGATATCGTGTAGTTGTGGGTGCAGTTTCACGGCTCAGGTTGCTCGTTTTCGGGGTAGTTGAAACGGAATGTGGGCGATAATGTGGGTGGGCTCTTTCATGCATGGCCCTGCAGACTATCAGACTAACCTTGTATAGTGCGATAGGATTCGGTAGCCCCGCAGTTCCTCACTGAGCTTGAAAATTTTCCATCATTTCCATTACGGAGGTATATATATACAGCTCCTAAGTTTTGTATGTTCTACAAACCTCGCTTGTCGAACCTACAAAACTTAGGCGCTGTACCTCTCCGTATACCCGCTATTCACGTGGCATTGCGCTTTCCTCTGGCAGCCCTACAGCCGCTAGAATTATATTTCTATGTATAATATGATATCACCTCCTAATCTTTGAGTTCTCGGGTGCGCTGGGTTGTTGGGTTTAGGTGATTTCTTGGGTTGGTTAGTTTATCCTCGTCACTAGATTGAATCGAATTGAGAGATCATTTTGGAGGAGCAGGTGTGCTATTCGCCGACTATTGCTAACGAGTTCCAAAGGATGTGTTTATCAGCACTTGGGCTCGGCGGGTTGTTGCGGATTTCACATCGGTACCGCCACTCCAGCCTTGAGTGGTTTGCGGATCGAGCACTGTACCCTCAGAACAAAGTCTTGAGAAGTGGTCCCCGGAAGTTATCCATTGGGCTGCGAAGGCAACGGTGCCTACTTGGTCGCGGTTCTAGAACAGATTTTTACCTCATCCCCAAAATTAAGAACAACAGTGTATGCATAGTCAGTAAAACGGAGCCTTTACCCACCGCCGTCGTGCTTCTGAGTGAGAAAATTTCCTAATTGGACATAGGGCTTGAACCTTGCATGGTGACCACAGATCAACAGAGTGGTATCATAAGGCTGGTGATACCGATAGTGCAAGCATGTGCTTTGAGGCTCCGCCCACCATGGAGTCCTCAACCCTTAAAGGAATATACGAAGCAATAGAGCCTACCATAGCTCTCGGTGTAGGGGCAAACAGCGCAAAGTTGGAAAAAATGCGGAGGGCCCTAAAACAAGTGCTCGCCTATCCCCCACCGACCCCAATAAAGCCCAAACGATTATGAGAATCGGTTATAGTTTTCCTGGAGGCCAAACAAGACAAACTCGGCGGGGAGTGTTCGTATAAGGTTTCTTTCTCCTCTCAAATGCTTCTTTCAGATCCTTATTTTCTTTCAAGTCTGGTCCTACTTAGGACTAGCATATGTTGTCCCTTTTGTTGTTTCCGGATGGTTTCTTTGAGGATCTCGGTTTCTCGATTCCTTACTACGAACGTTGAGGAATCCAGCTAGTAATATCAGGGTGGAAGCACTTCACCATATAGCTAAACCGCATTCTCCTTGTAGTTCGAATAGTATCAGTTCTCTCTCTATTTTCAAAAACAATCTTAACTATTCTGTATTACTTCTCCGCCCAAAGCAGTCGCACATTGCTACAGGATGCCTTTTTCCACTGTAAGTGATAGTCTATGATTCCCATCAAATTTGTCCATCACAGTCGATTTCACGCCCTGCTAGAACGTTTTATAAAACTTCCCTACATACAGAAGAGCGACATTCGAGCTACGGTGATTGAGACTAGACATTATCCCGGAAATTACTTGAACACCTTACACCCCAGGCACATAGTGACCAATACTTGGATCATTTGTTTGCTCATGCACCTACTCTTTACACGCACACCCTCCCCTCACCACCATGCACCTGAACGACAAAGGCCACTAGATCCTCTCATATCATGCCATATCATACGGAAGGGTGACTTGACGCATTGGGGCTAACCTAGCCTCGGCAAGCACCGCGGGACATCCGGTGTGATATGTAAGCACCCGCTGCCCCACATCCCCCATGCGTCCCATCACCACCATCACCACCATCACCCCCAACAGGCTGCGAGGGTGGAATTGGAGATACGTTCTCTTATCACCGGTCCCTTTTTTTCCCCTTCTTTCTTGCTCTGGCTAGGGGCGTCGGAAGGGGTATTTTCAATTCCGGGCTCATAACCTGCTGTGGGTGTTTGGAGTATTGGTGGTGCTGATGGAATTGGGTTTCCTCTTTTTTTTCTTTCTTTGGAACCGCTGTGAGGTCAGTGCTTCTAGCACTCTATCTAACCGGGAGAGCCTGTAATTTGTTTGTTTGAGTGCTGGTTTTTGTTTGTTTAGGCGTGAATATGATAGTCGAAGAAAGAGGGAAGAGAGGAATGGACCGAGATGGGGCGGTGGCTTTGTCTTTTCAAGTTATTGATAGATCGCATTTATTACGTCCTCTCTAAGCGTTGCATATGGCCGGGTAGTTGAGTTGGACTGCGAAATCTCAACTGGTCTCCAATACCAATGAGAGAAACCCCAGATGAGCAGAGTACCGGTAAGTGATCAGAATTTATCTAAACACCTAGCCCAGCCCCCGAATGCACAAAGAGCGCAAGCAAACCAAAAAAAAACGGAGCTTCCCCCCCCCCCGATCATTCTGATCCCATCCTCCTCTCCTCCTCCTCTCGCATTACCCTCGATATCTCCCTGCGGTAGGATCGGGTAATTAACCAGGTCCATGGTGAAAAACACAAACTTATCTCGTTCTCCGTGACCCCCGCCCCGGGGGCTAATAATGCACCAATCGAGTGAGATCTTGTGAATGCTTGCCGAGTCGGAACCAAGCTTTATCATATGCTCCCCCTATATATCCCTAACGGAGGCGCTACTACAAGGGAGGGGGAGGAAGGCGCGGGTGCATGTCTAGCATCCTAACTTTATCTTACTTTCCGAGAGGGAGGGAGGGCAGCGGGAGGGTATATATATCGTGGGGGGAATACTAGTCAGGGCCCCTTTCGCATTCTTTCTTTCCTTCTTTCTCCCCCCGGAGACAATTTACCGTGTAGGGAACGGTGAGTGGTGTGGAGGGTGCGGGAAACCGCCCTTTCGAAATCTGTTTGTCGCTTTTTTATACGGTGCCTGCTGTGATGTGTGGCTGTGCGGGGCATTGATTAGACTAGTCTGGCTGCTGTAGCGGTCTGTTAGATGGAGATTTAAATGGGAGGTATTGTGCTCATGCCCACAGTAGCTATTGATACCAGACGCTGTGCTGATTCGGCCCGCAGGGTAGTTACGAAGGGTAGCCATCGAATCCATAGTGAGAGGTTAGAAAGATTACCCAAAGTTGAGTATGATATCTCGAATTACAAATTTCACATCTCCCCTCCTCCTCCCATACTCTCGACATTTATATTAGTCTTCCATTGACGTGCCAGGAAAAGTGGGTCAAAAGGAAAAGTGCATATCACGACTTTCAAAAGCTATACGGGGATTTCGTCCAAATTCCCGCTGCCTCACTCCCCCCTCACTCCAAAGAAGAAAAAAACCAAAAAGCAACCCTTCTGCCAGGAATACCTACCACCCTCCCTACCATCACGAGTATATGTATACGTTATCTTCTATTGGCCTATTGTTATCACGTATTTTCTCCTCCCATGTTTAGGGAGTGTGCCCAAATAACTGCTCTCTCTCTCTCTTACGATATCACGATACCTTGCAAAAGCCCACAGGGACTTGGCAGCGCATATCATACCCTATAGACCGCAGTTTGGCGCACCTAACAGAACGAGGTTCGGAAAACCTCACAAAAAGTTGGCATGCCAAACAGCGCCTTAGGCCATACATAATACATCCTGCCACGGCAGAAAGGATCATATATAACCTATCATAGAGATTCGATGCACCCTGGACAGGTTGTTGTGTTAGTAGGGGGCCATTATTCGGGGTTCAAGGGCTAGGATAGGGCAATAGAAGTGGTGGTGGTGGGCTAAGTTGGCCGTCATGATTCGTTTGGTTGGATAATGAAGTTGGAAATATTAACGGCCATGATTGTGAAATTCGGCAGGTTTGTGATACCCTTTTGAGACTCGATATGGTATGATATATATGCCTCAGGGTAGAGCATTCAACCCTTCCTTGCATATGCGCGAAGCGACCGGTAAAGCACTCCCAAATCCCCGTGCACTCCTCTCCGAACTCACCCTCGTCGTGGATTCGCACAACAATTAGAATGGAAACACTCCGCCAACGGGATCCTGTCTGGAACCCACCATGGCGCGACCACAATCCCCGACAGTTTTGGTGGTCTTTCCCTCCATCTTGTATCAGTACTTATGATAACTACGCGTTGCAGCTCGGCAACTAATCCGGAGTGTGCCGGCCCTGGCTTACCATTGTCTCAGTCCCTTCCTTGGCTTTTCGGCAATTCGTTGATGTCATCGGGCGTGCAAGTTCTGTACTGTACTGTGACGGTACAGTGCAGTATCAAGAACCGGTGTCACACCAAGAGACCAGAGGGATTCTAGGTTAACAATCTTCCTCCGTCACGCCCTTTTCCTCACGGGCAATCCCCCCTCCCCCTCCCCGCTCCCGCAGGGTCCAACACCTGTCAATCCTTCAAGAAAAGTAATCCCTTTTTCAATATATGATACGTTCTCTCAGTCACTCTTCTATTGTTCGCTCTTCCACCCTGCCACCTTCCCTTTTCCTGTCGACCAATTACCTGGTTCCCGTCGGGCACTCCATCTTGTGCTCAATTTATTCCGGGACGCGCTCCATTCTGATCAGCGTAACAATTGCGCCCCGGGATCCGTCCCTCTCTTCTTTGGACTTGTGCCGACACTACTGCGATGTACAATCGCCGCCGTGGTCGTACTTCTTCACCGGTATATTTACACCCGGTCAAAAGCAAACATCCCTAACTCTCTTCTGACCCTTCCATACTAGAAACAACCGATACAGCCAACACCCGCGGCACTTATCGCGGCCACAGCAGTATACCGGCCGAATCCTTCCTCTCCGGATCCCCATCTCGCCGCTGCCGCCGCGGGAGCAGCTCTTCGCCATGTCACCGTTACCCCGACTCCCCCGGGTACCATACAAACGAAGCGCATGCTTCAGCGCCGCGAGAGCTACTCCTCTGTAACACCGCCATCGGGTGATGAGAACGGGCGGGTACAGCGTAGCCACAGCACGAGTAGTTTGACAGGGCGAAGATTCCGGAAACCGAAACCGCTGCCTCCCCATTCTCTCCCGGTGCAGCAGCAGCAATATTACCAGCCCGCCGGAGCAGCAAACGCTCGCTCTAGAAGCAAAAGGAATGCCAGGGGATATTTTCCTTCATCATCGAGCGATAATGGCGACAGCGAGGAGGATTCACATGTCCGGCGATCGGCCTCTGTTCGGAGTACGTCCAGCAACCTGTCGTTCCCGTCCACACTTCGGGGCCCCGTCGCGCCGGATCGGAAATTTTCCAAGCCGAAACATGCTTCACTGACAGGGAGCATGTTATCTCGCGGGTCATTGAGGGGCCCCAAACCGGTTTCCCCGCCATACCCCGATAGACTTCCCCGACGGTTACCCGAACCCGATCTGACGGCGCAGAACCGGCGAAAAAATCAACGTGCAAATGGGAATGTATGTCAAACGGAATATTCTGAGTCTGTCTGCAGCACCACTGGAAGTGACCTCGGGAGTATTGCAGAGGAGGGAGGGAGGGCTGCGGGGCGGACTTTTAGAAATAATGCGCCTCCTACCGGTAGGATGGCAGAGGAGGGCATTGAAGGTCAGGATGAGACATTTAATTTTCGGCGGCGTGACAAAACAGGAGCTACGAGACGACCTTCTAATAAAGTCCATGAAACTAGTTCTATTCCGAGAGCAGTCACCCAAACTATGTCAACTTCTCCCACAAGAAAACGTAATCCGATACTTTCACTTCCCTCAAATTCTCCTGAAAGGGCGCAAGGCCATCACCGGGAGCAGTCACTCTCCCCAAGTAGAACCCACTTCTCACTCAATGCAGCGGAGGAGACGTCCACTAAGCATTCTCCTCCCCCGAGATCAGTTTCCCCGGCCAAGAGCGCACTGAAACATCGCCCAGCGTCACCGCTTCCTGTTCCGTCTGTCCCTGCGAATGCCCACCTGGATAACTCCCCGTCCTTACCTTCCGGGCGTAAAGCACGTGTCATCTTCTCGGATGAAGACAGCGTCGCCAGTTCCATCCACTGCTGTGCGCCAATATCCACAGACTCTGCCGCACCCCCGACACTACCCGTATTCGGGAGCACCCGGAGGACAGGACGGGATGCCCTCCAAAATGGGAACGGTAAGGACACGACGACAAAATCGCCCACGCCGGCCATATACAGCATTAGTCTTCCCCCCAGCAGCAGCTCTCAGGAAGACCTGCGGCCGGAGCAGCAGAGGACGAACATGGTTGATTCACCAGACGGAAGGTTAGAGCATACCCCACCCGAGACAAACCCTTCCAACGGTGTCCTTGGGAAGCCGGTTCCGAACTTGGTGGTTGCGATTCCTACGCTCAGGGAAGAGAGAGATGAGAATGAGACAACGAGTCCGGCGGTGCGGGTCCCGGGCGGTTCCCAAGCGGGCGGTTCTTCTTCCAACGCTGCTGCACAGGCTAGGGAAGGCAGTGATAACGACAGCGACGGTACAAGCATATACTCAGATGCCTTCGAAGACCTTGAAGAGTCCTCATTGCCTAGCATCATGCAAGTGACCGGCTCACAGCAAGCCCCCCATACGCAGCCACAACTAAACACCACCAACCCCCCGGCTCTCCAAAACGATACCCAATCACCACGAACAAAATCCACAAAACCACACCAAGGAGAGTCTCCGACCCTCCCCCCAGACCTCACTCCCGCTCCCACCATTTCCCCTTCTCCCTCCTGCGGCCCCCAAGCCTCCACACAGACCCATTCCACCTCACCATCTTCGGACACAGCGAGCATAACTCCGACATCCTCCTTCAAACGAGCGCACCCACGACAACCACGCACAAGCATGCGCACAACAATGCGCTCCGATCCTCCCCCCTCGGCCCCCTCCCGCCCCCACCAAAAATCAAAACAGAAGTCCACACTCCGCGCCACCAGCCGCATACCAGATTCATCCGACGATGGCGAAGACGAATACCAATGGCCCGCATTCCAAAGCCGCCTTGCAGACTCTGACGATGAAGATTTCGCCATTGGTGCTGTTTCTGGCGCGGGTATTGGCGGGAAGGCGAAACTGAGGAAGAGACCTAACAGCAGTACCTTTTTCAGAAAGGAGAAGGATAACGTGGGGAAGGCGAAGGGTGGCTTCTGGAGCAGGTTCGGGAAGAAGGAGAAGAAGGACGGGCTCAAGGGAAAAGAGCCGGCTGTGGCTGGAAGCGAAAGCGAGAGGACAGCGCCAGCGGTGATGGTGGTGACGGCGCCGGCAGTGGTGCCCGACGCTACTACGGTTGATAGCGTCGCGAAGCCGCTGGCGGGAAGCGGAGCCACCACCAAGCAGAAACCGCGGGCCATACCGGAGGCGAAGATCTCCAGCGTTCGTACCAAGGGTCCATCACCGAGCGCGAAGGGGAAGAAGGGGTGGAGGAGGCTTTTTAGCAATGTGTAGTAGCCCAGCCAGCCAGCCGGCCTATTGGGATTTCCTGTTACTCTTTTACTCTTCTACTCTTTTTTCCTGGATAATACTCTTAACAACTTTGAACAGTTAGGGTGGTTTCCCCTCCCCCTCTTACCTTTTTTCGTGTATTATTATATGGGATTTATAGTTGTGTTGTTTCCCCAGCCTCTCCCCTTTCCCCTCTTCCTACCATGCTTCACAACATGCCATGATAACTTTTCCTTTCCCCCTCTCTTCCTTTCTCTCGGTCAAATTCTCTAGGGTCTAGAGTGCTTTTTTTGTTCTTTTTCTCACTCGGAGGGGGCGCATATGTTTCAAAAAGAAAAAAAAAACAGGCATGTAAAAGTTACTCAAGAATTCATCGGAAATATCAAGTAAAGGTCCAGCACTATATAGCACTACACTTGGTCAGAAGCGTCGATCGATACAATACAATACAGTACGGTACAGCTGTCAAGTACTGTACATTCCGAGCGATCCGAAAATCCTACGGACATGCCGTATCACTCGGCTGTGCAAGCTTTACTAGAGTCGGAAGATGGATAGTATCGGATACCGGGTTTCGTGTTTGGCTTGTCCCGTACGGGTGGATGTATTTCCTCCACCCCCAACCCCCGATGTGAATTTAATTACGGTTTGCCTTGTCATGGTTGGAAGCGGAAGGGGGGGAACTCCCGATTGGCACTGACGGGGGTAAGGGTGGTGTACTGATTTCCCCTTCTCTTTCTTATCCACCGGATGTATGGGTAGCCAAGCAGTCGATTTCATCTACCGTGCTGTGCTGGGCGGATGTGGCGCTATGTTCAACCATTACAGCGAATCCAAGGGTGGCGAGTGACGTCTCATGATTTTGGGTACTTTGTTCCGAATTGCTGCCTAATGACTGCAGAAGAGGGCAAAATTGTGATGGATGGGTCGAAGGTGGTGCGCATCCCATCCTTAGTGGCACCCCCTACCGGTGACAACAACAGCCATTATATGCAAGTTGTATGTAGAAGCGATGAACCCGCAGCCGCCCATCACCAATTCTAGCCCTGGACAAAACAGCTAATGCCGGAGCCAGATCGATAGGTATTCCAAGAAACACAGTAAATTCCCCTCATTGTAAAGCTAAGCCCCCCGGGTATGATAATAGGTTGGTAGATAGGTAGTAGATGGGTAGTGGGCAGGTAGTTGAGTAGGTATGCTAACACTGCTGTTTTCAAAGGCTTCCAAGGGTGGGCAAAAAGGGAGACTAAAAAGCGTTCCGACGAAAGAGGAAAAAAAAATTGACAAAGTTTTGAAGAGTAGAAAAGAATGGAAAGAAAGGTGTATTAACAAATGCCTGCAGATCCACTTCGTAAGTTCGTCACATTGGGGTTCCCCCCTTCTCCCACCTTCAAGGTATTCGTACCCCGGATATCAATCCATTCCGTCCGTCCAAACTATATATATTCCCCAAAGCTCCATAAAAGACTCGAGAAAGAAAGCGAAAGAGAAGGAAAAAACATCGAAAAAAATTTAACCTCATTTCTTTGCCCGGCCGATCAACCACTGAAGCACTGCATCTAGGTTTGTTTCCTCCTTCGCCGATATCGCGTAGCAGCTAACCTCCCGATTCGTGATTTCTTTCAACTCCATCACATCAATCAGCTCATCCACACCGATCTTGTCCGGGAGATCGGACTTGTTGCCTAGCACCAGCAATGGGATTCCGTTCAGCATTGGTTTCTGTAGCAGGGAATGGAGTTCGTCTTTTGCCACGGGGATGCAAGAGGCATCCGCTGAATCGACTATGAAGCTGTATATTTCCAGTCCATTCCCGAATTAGTTTGGTTGGTCGGGGTAAAGTGGAGGCGAGGTCCACGAGAGGAGCAGGGAAGGAGGGAAGGGTTATTACACGATGGCGCTCACACCCCGGCAATACCGCTCCCACATGGAGCGAAATCGCGGCTGGCCGCCGAGATCCCAGCTTTAAATTCGCCCGTTCCGTAATCAGTTGTTTGTTCCTGCTGAAAGGGTGGGTGGGGAAAGGGAGAACATACCATTTCAAGGTAACATGGCCCTTCTGTACTCGCTTCATATTAAATCCTACTGTCGGAATAGAACTAGAGTAACAAACAAAAACCACTCGTTAGTCATTCCAAAATTGCTCTCTCCATTCTTTTTTTTTTTTTTTCCTGTTGAAAAGAAAAAGAAAAAAAAAGTTCCCAGTATCGAAAGACATTACTCGTATGTAAATTCCCCGCCCTGTAAGCAATGGTGTTGGGTTAGCAAGCAAACTTGAGGCTATTTCCGCTGCCGCCGGGAAGGGGATTAAAAAGATACTCACAGCCAAAACTCTTAACAAGGACGTCTTCCCGGCATTCTGTAACCCGATCATAGTTACATCCATCTCGGTAGCCCTGAGAGAAAAAAAAAGGGAAGAAAGAGTAAACCATATTAGCCTTCAGTCGTTGTTGCAGCTTCTCCTCCCTTCCTTTTTTTTTTTTAAACCCTCCCCAATGGAAAACGGGCCGATGACGCCATGCTCCCGAGCTCGCCAGCTTGCTTGATTCTGCTCTGCTCTGCTTGCTCGGCAATCTGTCTTTTCTGTCGAGCGCAGGATCTTGCAGCAAGCAACGGACTGCACAGGGCAAGCGAGGGGGAATGAATGTGAAAAGAAGGTCGCATACCAGAACATACGGAGTAGCCAATCATAGATGCGACGGAAAAAGCCCGACATGGTCGACGCGGATGGGTGTCGGGACACCAAAGTATACAGACGGACGGTAAGGAAGGAAGGAGGAGGAGGAAGGAAGGTGTAGCAAATGGAGGAGGGGAGGTGGGAGGGACGGACAGAATAACGACTGGCTAGAGTGAAGAAGGTTTGTTGAAGGTTAAAAGGAAAAACTAAAAGGAAGGCGATGTTTGGCAAGGGCTCCTCGAAACGTGGAGAGTGAGAGGGAGTGAGGGGGGGGAGAGGGGGGTGGTTGAGGAAGTTGGAGAGGCGTTGAAGGGTGTCGAGGGAGGGAAGGAGCGTTGGATGCGGCGGTGATGGAATGGGGTGTGGTTTGGTCTGTTCAATCAAGTTGTTCTCTCAGGCAGCTCACTCTCTCGCACCTTGTCGCCAGAAGCATAATCTCTACGACCCTCTTTCTTTTTCCTTCCTCCCCTTTCAATCCTTCCCCAAGTTCTCCCTCTACTACATTTTCTTTCCCTCTTACGGTCCTCCCATTCCCCCTTCACAATATGCACCCCAACTCTCCCACCCTTTCCTCCTTTATCCTCCTCCCGCCGTTCCCTCTCATGATGCCTCGCAAAAAGTTCTCACAAACCCCGACTCACGCACGAATAACTCTCCCGTGTCCTCCTCTCAACAGTGCGTGTGTGGGGGAAGGGGGGATGCGAGTGTGGTAAGCAGTCACCGTGGATGTGGGAAACTCTTCGTCTCCTCCCTCGTTCCTGCCTCCCCCAACACGCTCCCACTCCCTGAGGTTTCAGCGACAAACCGGAATTATTCTCCACAACCAAAGATCAGAGACAAGAAGCCTGGGTGGAGCTAACCGGCAAGCCAAATGTCGAGGGACAAATAGATGGGGACCGCAGTCAAACTTATAAGGAACAAAAAGGGATTGAAAAAGGAATATTATTATTATATTTCTCGTTTAGACGAAACAAACAATTGAACGCGCGAGAAAACAAATCAAAGGGCCACGGCCTCAAGCTAAGAGCGAGGAACAAAGCCCTACTGTATCATACTGCAGCACACCCGCAGTACGGTACCTGTGCAGCGGGAAGCACGAAGCAAGCAAGAGGAAAAGAAGGATGTGCACGCCAGCAAGTACTGTACTCGAGCACGGCAAAAGTTACGGCGGAAGAAAAGAAAGAAAGAGGAATAATCCTTTCCTTGTTTTTTCTTTTCTTTTCTTTTCTTTTCTTCCCTGGGGAGCGCCCTCATCGCGCGGACTCCCATTCGTTCGCTTCCTTGGTTGCAGCTGGCTATTGCTCGGTTAATATGCAACGGAATGGAAGCTGGGGTTGTCTCCGGGTCTTGAGCGCAGTGCTGAGCACAAGTATCACAAGTATGCTGCCAATTAGAAGTGACACACCATTACAAACGCTTTTATGTATGGAGAATGAGGGGGATGTGGGCTACTGGTACCGGTATCATAGTGAGGGAAAGCTGAATATTGGTTTTTTTTTCTTTTTTTTTTCTTTTCTTTCTCCTCCACAGAATCTGATATGCTAGGAACGGTCCCTGTATGGCAGGGAAAATATCGGCCATGTACCCTGAGCTATAATAATATCTGTACGAATCCCCCTTGAGGAATACCGGTATGAACGAACGAACATTATATACGTTTTGGCCCACACACACACACTCTCTCTCTGTGAGGAAATATAACAGTATTTTGATGGCATCATCTCACAATGAGCCATCATCGTACTCCTCGACAAAAATCCGGGTAACCCGCGCTTCCCCCCCCTCTCCAACCGCGACGCAGTGACCGCCCAGCACGGACCATCCTGAATAAAATAAAATAAAGTGCAAGTATCGTAACGGTACTCGAGTACCGTACAGTACCACAGCTCCCTTGCCTAGAGTAATTCACCGTACAAGAAGGACGTTACGATACCATCGACCGCCAGTACCATAAACCTCTCGAACACCGTACATGCCTACACTATCAGCACCCACCCCCAAGGGACAGCACCGGCATCCCACCATACCGTACAAGTACCATTCCGATATAATACAACACGATACAACACAAACACCAGAACAATACCGTACCGTACTGTACTCTACCCTACCGGTGTCTAAGGTTCGTCGAAATTCCTCATCCAAGACAGGGGGAGGAGGAGGGAGGGGGGCACGGTACCGGTATTACAATACGGTACCGGTAAAGAAATCACCACAAACTCAGCCCTCAGTTGAGACAATAAAAAAGTAAAAACAAAACAAAAAATACACAGTGTCTTGCTAATCGATGAGAGAGACAATTACAGTACTCATACTAGTACTCGAGTACAACGTCCTATGGCAGCGCGTTTCTCCCGTTAATAACCCGTCGGCGTTCGAGATACCGGTATGGTGCTTGTGTTATTGTCCCGGTACTGTATGATACTCGAGTTACGTGCCCGACGCTAGCTTTACCTTGCTATATATATCTCTATATAATACCGTGATTACAACACACAAATACTATTATCCAGGGAAGGAAGAGTAAGAAAACAACAACAACCAATACCGGTACTGTATTCTTTCGAGTGCGGCGCCTAATTCTTTGAGACGTTGTAGTCGCTATTGCCATTATATCCGCGCCACGCCGTTTCACCTTTGTGATTGTTAGTTTGTGATAGTGATTTGTTATGCCGAGCTGCGCTACCCGTATGTGATAGTATGTGATTCTCGACTGTTATCTGTTCATAAAAGGACTGACGTCTTCTGCATAGTGACATACGGCAGATACCGTAGCAGTGGTAGTAATAGCATCATAACACATCTGATAACCCCCTCTCGGGCCGGGAGCAGAACCCGTAGAGCCTCCGTCATCCTTCCCTCCCGAAAGTTACCCTCGCAATACGTGAAAAAGGCAGAAAGAGTGAAAGAATAACGGAAGGTGAAGAAGTGATAAGGAAAAAAAATAAAAAATAAGGAGTAAAAAGGGAAAAAACACCAATCGCGCAAACCGATCAATCACTACTGAAGAAAAGAAAAGGGGGCGAACAAAGAAAAGGAGCAAAAGAAAGGGAAAAAAGCCGAAAAAAAACTCGTAAAATAAAGCTCCCCTCCACAATCTTAAGCAACAACCCTCGGATACTCGGTCCACCTCTTCTCCCGGGGACCAGCGCCAACGTTACTGTCATTATCAAAATCCGCCACCGCCTCGCCTACACCCTCCTCCTCCTTACCACCCAGCGCAACCCTACCCCCAATCCAAGTCCATGTTCTCATAACCTCTCCGCTAACCTCCCGCTCACCTGCGCGAACGTTGCTGTTCATCTCGACAATCTTCTGCACCCCGTCCCACAGCTTCCTGCGCCGCTCGGTGTTGAATTCGTGTTGCAGCACCTGGTCCCTTAGATGCGCGATTGCGATCCACGGTTCACGTGGGTGGTCACGGGCTTGGCGGGCGAGGTGTTTGAGAGCTATATGAACGAGTTTTGTTACTTGACGTTGGAAGACGCGGTTTGAACTAATAGATTTGCGAAGGCTGAATGCGAGAAAGGCAAAAAACACTATTCCTGTAGGTAGAAAGGATACATCAGAACGCCGTTGTTGGATATTTGGTTTTACACTTTGCAAAAAAATTTTGCATATAACATACCACTAAGCTCAACTCGATATCTAGCCATGGACCCGGAGATTGATTTTCGGATCGCACAGCGGAGCGGAACACTTGCGAGAGAGGTTGACTGGAGGTATGTTTGTCCTTGGCTGTATTGGGGACCACAAATCCAAAGTTAGATAAGCGCTCTTCCATTCTGAATGCGAAAAGTAAAGCAGACGTGGAATCGGAAAAAGTGAACAATCTCTCACCCGTCTTGATGATACACAACCTCCTCTCGATTCGAAACGTCTTCTAGAGCGTTCCGCCATAACTGCCTGAACTCCTCGTCCGACAAGCTTGGCTATAAAAAGAAAAAAAAAGCATTAGTCATTTGATCTCCAAGGTGCTAAGGCAATCGAGACAAGCAAGGAGTGGAATTTTGCAATGAATCATTCCGCGGGACTAACGGCTTTAAGGTCATACAGCACTTGCCTCAGATAGGCCTCCGAGACTCCTGCCTCCTCATCCTTGCCTAGTGCTACCTCCCCACACTCCACATCTGCTGCCCTAGCTCTCAATACTCTGATCGCCTCATCTGATAATATGGCTATTTTTCGGAGTTTTTGGGAATCAGGTTCGCAAACAGGTGCGAGAGGAATCAGTCCACCGAGCGACAAGGGATTTGGCACAAGAACATAATCGTCATTACAGGTTGCCTCAAAATCGGGTCTGCAGATGGCATTGGGCGGACATGGCTCGCACTGAGGGCGAAGAACATTCGTCCAATCCTCCTTAGCGACATGCATGCTTGTAGCTAGATTTTGTTAGTAATTTTCCAAATCGAGAGACAAATCACGCACTCGATTTTCCATAACCGCAGTAGCCGACTTCCAATTTCTCCTTCCTCCACCAGGCAAAGTAGCCGCTAAGAAGCGCAATCACGATGACCCAAAGCATGCTTGTGCTTGCAGCATTTTGGATTGCACCCCTGGGGCGACGCGCAATTGGGCCCGATTCAGCAACTTCCGCAGTGCCTTCCGGGGTGAACTCTTCCCCGGGCTCCAAAGAATAATCATCTTCCACCTCTTCCTTCTTCACCACACCATTGGGTGGCTCGCTGGGACCCGCTGGTAATCTTGAGAGAGGAATCCCAAAAGCCCGGAAGGCAGGAACCACCCGAGTGCTAGATGGAGTGTAATTGTCCTCTCTTTCATCCCCTGCGCGGGGGGGCAAGGGGAAGTCCGTTTGGCGCCTCGCAGACACTGATTTGCGGCGCCTCTCGCTGGTCGAGCCCGTGGTCTATAAATAGCTTGATAAGCAAAGGGTTAAAAACTAGCACTAAAAATTGGGTTTCACCTTGCGTCGATCACTCCGGTCAGGGGATCTAGCGAGCGGCGAACCGCTTTGAAAAGGATTCTGGGAAGAAAACACTGACGCCTCCCTCTCCTCATCCGAGGCAGAAAGCTTTATTCGAGGTATTTGGGGGTCTCGCTGGCCTTCATTGGGGAGTATGGTCTGACGGGAAGCGCTGTTCCTGGTTTTTCGGGTAGATGGTGGCGGCTGTTGGTCTTCTGGCTCGGCTGTGTGAGGCTCGCTGGGTCTCGCTGGCTTATTGAGTTGGCGCTTTGCTGAAACGGAACGCTTCCGCGGGCTCCGCCGGGAATAATCCTCCACTTCGTCCTCGGTCTCGGCAGTCCCCATGCGAGTAGTTCGTCGAGAAGATCGTCTAGGGGTGGCCTCCGCCGGAGACGCGCCTTCACTTTCCATATCGATTATCCCCTGGACCGAAGCTTTCACCCGCGATCGGGCGCCCAAGATACGGCGGGCCTTGGGTGCGATCTGGGTGTTGAATAATTCCACGAGCTGGGCCTTCTTAGCGGTTGAGGGGTAGTCAACGCCATGCTCCAAAAGTATTCCCCGAAGCTCAGGGACTTTAAGAGTGTTAGGATCGAACCCAGGTTGAAGGTATTCTTTTTCATCCATTATGCGATCGATGGGAGATACCGACGGGCAATCAGGGACAGATAGTAGCAAGCGGGAGGGGATTCGCTTAGAGCAAGTGCAGGCGAGGAGATCCTGATCAACAGAGAGGGTTAGAGAGAAGCGCGGGATAGAGGAACCCCGTTCGGGGCGGTGGTAATGGAGATGGTTGTGGTGGGAGAGGATGTGCTCGAGATGATTGTGAAGAGGGGGAAGGTGGATGGATTGCTGTGATGAGGAGGATGACGAGGATGCGGTTGGTGGTGATGAAGGTGGCGGGTTGGTGGCGAAAACAAACACGTGGCAGTGCATTGTTTTTACGCCACACTTCTGTCGCAACCTATCAAACCCTTTGGGTGTTGTCGAGATTGCCTGACTCACCACCAACAACCGCTGCCGCCAACCCTCATCCTATAACTTGGGTGACTCTTCTTTTTGTTGAGGAAGAGTCAAATACCGGTACCGGTAGGGGCAGAATTCCTGTCCACAGATGTCAAACCCCACCGCAACGTGATACGAGTATGATACGGTATCATACGGTAGTTGTACCCGTCGGGAGAACACAGCCTTCCTAAAAAGCAAGTGTCCAACGGTCTGAGCCGATAAGAAAATCGAGTGCATTTCTGTGATTATACCCTCATCTGATCATCGTGTCCCCAGAGTTCCCTCGATTCCCAGTTTTGAGCTAATTTTCTGCGCCAGTTGCACTTTTGAAACCAGGTATTGGCTCCTCCCAATCCCACGGGTGGTGTAGGAGTGCAGGCCATTTGCCGCCTTGGGTGCAAGCCTGTCCCAACTGGAGAGCTGAACCGCTAGAGCTGTCGGCCGCTTAGAATTGGACACGGCTTCGTAATTACTTCGAGCCGTTCGCAACAGCCTCCTCAGGGTCTGGCATTCGCACCTGGAACACCATGCAGCCAACCGGACCCTAACCAAAGCCTTTGTTGGTCCAAAGGTTCTGCTGGGCCGGGCGGCATCCGGTGGCCACTTAGTCAGTGGGGCCAATCAACGGAATTGTGGGTATTTATTATTGGGTGAAAGAATGCACTTGCTGAGGATATGGTGCCGGTATGCGAAGAAATTCTGGAGCAGCGATGCATTACTTACTAAAGAGGCGGTAGCAATTCTGCAGTGGGTATACATCACACGCTTAATTTATCCCTCGGATCACCCGTTAGAACGTCCGCGATGCGATACGATACGACACGACATGACCAGGAGCAGAGCAAGATGCAGGCACAAACCATACATACACATAAGATCTGCGGACTAGGAGTAAATGTAAATATAGACGTACTACCGTCATCAGCCTCTGAAACGATTCTACAGGTGGAAAGGAAGGGAAGGAACTGCGAGAACCCTGCCAAGAGTAGCTCACGGAAAACCCAAGGAACCATTGGATAAAGGAGGAATTGGAATTGCTCAAACTTAGACTTCCATAGCGTGCTGCATAAGTCGCGCGCCCTTCCATTGCTTGGGGCTGCGCTTGCATTCCTCTTGTATTCCTCTTGTACATGGCTGCGTTTGTTGTTTCCATGCGCGGATCTAGTGTTTGCTTTCGTTAAACAGCGTGGTTTATTCACCCTTTTCTGATCCTCTTGCTCTCTACCCTCTTTGGATAATCAACAAATTACCTCATCTCAACTTGTCTATCCCTCGCCGCACAAATCGGAACAAAAAAGGTAGGCACTTTGCTGATGCCACTAACACGAACCACCCACGCTAATACTAAGTCACACCCTTATATTTTTTATCGGGCGAAACACTAGATTCAGCTTCGCATCTGCTGGTTAGTCAGTCCTCCCCCACAGTGCTGATTGATTGATTCCCCGCCCGTAATCTGGCAGACAACAACCCCTACCGATACCGTTCTCCCACCGCCCCTAGTTCCTCTATTGATGAAGGCTGCTGCAGCCCCTCGCTTCAAGGGTCAATGCGATACGAAGTGGGATCATGTAAAGTCACTCGTCCGAGTGAGGTTCAGTGACCTGATCGGAAACCTTTCTGGTGGATATTTTTTAGGATTGGCATGGCTCTGGTCTCGCCCACTTCACAGACTTGTGGTAGAAGCTGCTTGCTCATATGCCGCACCTGCGCCATGACGCCGGCAATGTTACCTCGCTGTTTGGCGTTTCTCCTCCGTGTCGAGATAGGGTTTGGCAGCCGACCACTAGTTCTAAAGCCCCGTAGTTATGATACTCGTTCGTTGAGTTGTCAACCCACCCACCGAAGTCTGGCCCTCCCGTGGATTTCCGTTTCGGGGGTATCCCATCTTTCGCGACCGGGAATGATAGGGACCATCTCACCACTACCCATCACACTAATTGCCAGAGGCGAAACCGAACCAATCTCCCGGCCTTCCTCCCAGGGCCCACGCACTTCCAGGTCACCATTGCCGGCTATCTCGCTGCCCTATAACACCTCCATGAGAGTAAATTTCTTATCCAAACAGACCTCGCCTTGCAGGATGATAAGCCAATCAGCTTCTAGCTCCGCACCCACGCACCCACCCAGTAACCCCTCTCCCCCCCACCTATCCACAAGCACCTGCTGCATTCCCATAACCGACTGATTGTCACCGACCATCACTGCTGTTACCTTGGCCTTTACCAAGGACCTGACTAAATCCAAGATACGGCATGGCAATCGTTGGCAGTTCACTAGTTTAGCGAGCGCCACGGTTTTAATGTTTTTTTGTTACTCGAAAAACACTAGGTCTAACCACCACAAACGGGCGTCATCTCGCTTCACCTGGTTCATGATAACATGGCAATTTTCTGCACGTTGGTCTGTGCGCGCGGAGAGTTGGATATGTCGGATGCCACGTGGTTGGAGGGGGGAGACCACGAAGCATGCTGCCGATATTATACCTGCAACTCGAGTAGTGGAAACGGGGGTGGACTTCCTAAACACGGAATTATGCGTTATGGTGTTTTCGGGGCTGAGCTTCCTTATTTCGGGCGGAATGGAAATTCGGGTATGGACGTCAGTAAGTTGAGCTTCTTCGCGTTGTTGCTCGTACCATATCGGGCGGGAAGCGTAAGTCTGTGGAACTTTGGCTGGCTCGAGGGTCTTCTCGACCACTCAGAACTGTGCTTTCTCCAGCCGACGGCTCGACAGACCTTTTCCCTTCGCTGAGAATTGGCGTCGGCACCATGATACACACACAATTTCGACGAACCAGACCAAGAGTTCAACAGACCGAAGCGTACACCCTGAGTGCGCTGTGCATGAAATTGTGCCGATTCCTGGATTCGACCGGATAGCATTTATGCAAGTCCCAGTCATAACTGTGCGGAACCTTATCAAAGGTGACCGTGGGCGCGGGGTCATTGACGCCCAGCCTCGGCCCTCAAACATTGTGGTATCAGAGTTCCTCGATCCGGGACACAGGCTTGTCCACATATCGCACCGGAAATCTCCCACGGCAGTGACAGAGCGCCAAAGAAAGCGAGAATCTCCTGCAGATGTTCCTGGGGCGGCCTGGTTCCCTTAGTTCAAAAATCTCGGGGGAGGCTACACCGTTGCTACCATACCAGTACCGTACAGTGCATGGGGGGGGGGGATTTTGGCATCAACATTATCACAATCATGATATCGGTAAGTAATCGTATTTGAGCATCCATGGCAAAAACAATCACAATCAAGCCACAATGCCCACCCACAGTGCCGGGCGATAACCAACTGCCGGTAACTCAACCAGCACCACTTTACCGCTAGCAGCAATAGGGTCGCGGACTTCCGGTACACTTCGCTGTGTATTCGAAACTAGTCACAAATAGAGTCTTCTCACAGGCGAAGAAGGGAGCGGTTGGGCAAGCATCGCCCCTGGTGGGCTCCTAGGAGTAGGGCCGGTTGGGTCCTTTACTCGAGTAGTGTAGACTGCGGATAGAAGCTGGTTATTATTCGTGACCAAGCCAGAGTCAACCACAGTACTCGAGTCTAATATCGGTCTGGTAGTGGCAGGGGAGGACGGGAGCAATGGAAGGGAATCACCATGTTCCACTTTTTGAGGGTTCTGTTGATGGGTGGGTGTCGTTGACCCTACCGTACGGTAGACCGTTCAGTTCGGCGGGTGCCGGTAGCGTACTGTACCGGTAGTACTGGTATGATACCTCGTACTCGTCCCAGGCCATAAGTACCTACCCGAAAACGGGAGGGCGCTGAAAACTCTCGGTAAATGGGGATTAAATCAAAGATTGTCATTTCCACTTGACTGGCTAAAAGTAACTGAAAACAGGCGGAGCAATATTTTTATTTATTTTTGCATCAATTTGCAGGAAGCTAGCAATAAGAACTTGGGAACAATGGCTTCAACGGAGTTGCCTCTGAGAAGAAAACTGTCGAACGTGTGCAAGCCAATCCATTATTAATCTAACTTATTTACAAAACAGTTTCATTAAAGTAATACTGGTTTCCATAGTGAATACTATATTTTTTTTTTACAAATGGTATGATACTTATCGAATTACTTGTATCATATGTGATCTGATTACTGAGTATTTCTTTAATTAATATTGGTAGATTGCTGCTTGTAGAATGAAGTACCTTAGATAATAATTAAAAAAAAATCTTCACATCTAGTATGAGACTAACTAATGAAAGGCACCTGTAGTGAACCCATATGTGCAAGTAGCAAGCAGCCAGGTTCAGATTCCCCCGTTCGGAAGCGTAAAGAGAGGAAATGGCAGCCCGAATGCATATTTCAGTACCGGTATTATTGAATGACCCTACTAGTACCTACTGACTAAAGGGAATGAAGAAAGGAGTTGGTAGCATAGTGAACGACGATAATATAAGTTGCATTACATGTAAATATAAGGAACTTCTTTTAAAAAGAAAAGTCAGATCAAACCACAAAGTTATCACGCACCGTAGTGCAGTCAGAAATTGTTATCCCGAGCCGCAAACTCACGTTGAGCTGTCGCACACTCAGAGAGTGACCCCAAAGAGTGAGGCTGTGAACTCTCGGGGGCTTACGGGCTCTATCCGCAACCTTGGCACGAGAAACCGCCTGGTCCGTGCACTTTTCCACTCCCTTGCTATCATAACCGGTACCTGTACCGGTAGAGCAGAGCAAAGAGCGGCTCTCGTCTGGAGGAGGCTGTTTTGCTCTTTCCACTCTGGTCAGGTTCCTCATAAAAGCTGTGCACGGACCATGTTTAAGCGTTAGCCTACTAGGGAATGTGGTACGGTGGTTACGGTATGATGCGGCAACGATATGAACTTGAGATGGCTTATGCTGTAAAGGTGCCTTGTGATTTACCAGTACAGGTACCGTAGGAGTACCGTGGGAGTACCGTAAAAACTGGAATACGGTACGGTAATTGGACCGTGTGCTGTGTCGTAGGGCTTTCCGTGAGGTCAACTATTTCTCTTTTTTTCCCTCTTTTTTTCCGTCAGAGGGGGAAAGGGGCTATGTTTTTGCTGTGCTTTTTGCCTTCTCTCCAGAAAAAAGGACTTCATACAGTGCTATAGCACATGGTCCAATCATTCTAGCTCTTATGGCACGAGAACTAAGATGCATACTCAAGCGAAGTGCGAGGGTGCCGCAATGCAGTGCTCGAGCAGATACAGTACTCGTACTGGAGGGCGCATCATGTAGTGCGGCAGAGTGATGATGTAAGCTTGGGCTAGATATTAATTGAAGCATTGGCAGTTCCCGAGGCGGAGACAGTGCGGACGCCGGCCTCCGGCCTCAGTATTGTGCACCAAGACCGCGCGGCTATTAGATTGATCGGTCAGTAACCACTTACTAAAGTTAACCAAACGGTTACGGCACCTCCCCTCCCATGATCGCCGCTCGTCGTCGGCCACTATCAGACATGCCGGTACCACCCCTTATCAAGTTTCCGGAACCGGGACGAATGTGTCAATTGGCCTTTGGGGTCTTGTCGCCGCTCTTGCCCATCAGGAAGGGAAGGTGGCTGCACGACCGAGATCGTAAATCCTACATGGCAGATTCGAGCGCTGGTACTGTACTGGCAGGAGAATCTTCACGAATGCGCACCCGGCTCGACGGTCATGACCGCGTCGAGTGCTGTCTGCTCACAGACGGGTTGGCCGCTTACAGTGTTCGGGGGCTGGAATGCTGATGGGGTCTTACTGTGCTGTGCTTCATGCAGTGTATCATCATACCGGTGCAATGCTTCTATCATGGGCGCGCTGTCGTGGTCGAAAGCCCTGTTTGGGAACACCGTGCAGAGATTCTGTCGCTAATTTACGCGATGAGCTCTTTCCATTCCATTCCTCCCTTCCTTCCTATGCTGCCTCGGGTAGCCCCCCCACCTTTCAAAGGTGGTATTGCGAAGTTTTGTACTGTACAGTGCTCTGTACACCGGCAAGCTTCGCTAGTCTGCTGCTCTGCGGGCGGGGTTTCCGGGATGGTTGTCTAGCTTATGATATGGTGGTAGGGGTTGTTTCATTTGCGAGCGCGTGCTAGTGCTTAACCTCAATAATGGATTTGAGCATTGTATCACACTGGAATCCCCAACGCTTGAGCTCTCTATCCACGAATACCGGTGTGCTCGCGAGCAAGCGTCCGTTCCATGCTCGCCAGCAGGGGTCACCTCATCATCCCCCGGGCTCGTGATCCGGGCCCGATGGCATGGCTGAATGGCAATAGCCTCAGTGCCGGCTCTTTTTTTTTTTTTTTTGTCTGCCGGGTGGGATTTCCTTTGCATTTCCGCTTCTACCTCCCGTCGTACCATCCCATACGTTTGTTCATCAGGGGGGTGTGTGTTTCCCCCACTCGCGGTTTTGCCGTGACCTGTTTCCTGTATCGGAAGAGAGATCTTTGCATGTACGAGTACGGTACTCAAGCAGCAGACTACATAAATATTACACTGTGCGGTGCGGGTGTACCGGTAGGGAAGGGGGCAGGCGACAAGATCTTACACGCCCAATTGTAGGCACTCCGATTGCTGCCGGGTTCAGGATCCTGGATCCTGGTGTCGGGAATAGGCGGGTGCGGGGTGGCGGTGGTGGTGATACTGTAGTACGGTAGTGCATACATTACTCGGCCCTATTCAAGGAGGAACCCCGCGACACACCATAGCGTGGCCTTATGCAGCACGATACCCGTACGAGTACTGTGCTGGACCGGAGAAATGTTTTTTTTGCATCGAGGAGGGGATAGGCTCCGGCCAAGGAAACCAAAGCGCCGTGGAATGGCTCCTCACCTAATCGCTGCCCGGTATTCTGTTGTAATATTCTCCCATAAGCTTTTAACTCTCACGACGCATCGGGAATAACCGGTTGGATGAATGGGAAGAGGTTCCCGACGAGCTGTTGGCGGCTTCTTGCGCGATCACCTCGCTAATGCTGAAGCTGAGTTGGGCTCTTGTGGGGTTTCCGGTTGCGGAGTGGTGGGGGAAAGGGAGGGGTGCCTTGTCGCATGGCTTGTACTTGTATTATTATAGTTCTGGTAGGGCGGTTGCAGTGCGAGCACCCTTTTTCGTCGTACGGAATCGTCTGGGAGCCTCAAGTTATTGTGCGTATAATACGGAACATGATACCGGTACAGTACAGTGAATCAGTGACCATCCCGACAAAAGGTCGCTACTGTGCCCGGAGCCGGCTGCTCCCACCGTATCTGCTGCACAACCTGCCTTCATCGTGGCCGTGTTCACACACACCACACACAGAGAGAGAGAGAGAGAGAGAGACAAAGTATATCATATCGTATCATATCATATCATATCATACAAGTACCGGTATCATACTTGAACCTTGTCCTTTCGTCTGCTGTTTCCATTATTCTGCCATGGTCCTCGGGTACTGTACGGTGTGCCACCTTGCTCACTCCCTCACTCCGCTTCCTCTCGTTCTCGGGGCGGAGCTCGCTCGTGATGTTCAGTCTAGTCTACCTGTAACTGCGCTAGTACTGGTGCCGGTGCTCTTGTCCCGTGCAGGCCATGGGTCAGAGCTTGCTCATGGATGTGCTAGAGTTGCACAATATCGTGCGTGCGTGCAGATATAAAAAAAGCTACCTGTCGCTGGGAATGCGGCCCCGCCAATCGTCTTGCGCCTTGCTCGCTCCACACACACTCACACACACACCCTGTGTTTTGAACGGGGCGTGCCGCATCAAAGCAAACGCCTTCCTCACTTCCCTCCGCAACTGTGATCGGTCCCACAAGGAACCGTTGCTGTTGGTGAGGAAAAAAAAATGGCTGAATGAAGTGAAAAGTTGGACATGCTGCCGTACCATCGGCGGTGTTTATGGGGTGTGCGGGGAGGAAGCACTAGTGACTGAACTGCCCGCGCTCTTACTGGCCTGATGTAATACGATATGGATACCTTACGATATCCTTGGAGGGTCATGATGGCGATAAGGTGCGAGGACAATTACATACTGTACTTGTACATATTTGTAGTTGAGAAGATTCTCTTACCACCCCTTCTCTCTCTCACACTCCCCCGCGGACCTTCTCCCCTCTTCTCCCAAGGAAAAAAAACAAAAAGAGTAGAAGGGGGAAAAAAAAAAAAAGGCTCGGAGCTGCGGTTCGTCTCCATTGTGCTCCCCCACTCTTCGCCTCGCTCGCCCACTCCTGCTACCGTACTGGGTACGACCTCTTCTGCTTCCTCTGCTCCTTCCGACCCTTATCCTGCTCCTTACCGTACCAATTTTCCCTTTGCTTGCCACTGCGGTACCCTGTTCTGTAGGGCTGCTCTGGATTATCTCCGAGTTGCTTTGTCATGACCTTGTAATTCGGACGTCACCAATCCCCACGAGCGATCCATCGCCAACCTGGCTGTGCGAGACAGAAAAGACGGAGGCAGCGGTGCCAAAGAAGTGACAAGAGGACCTACTATCTCACCCGCCCTTACCACACATCCGTAGGGCTTTGAAGATAGAGCGTGGTTGAAGCCACCGAGCACGCACGAATCTTTCGTCCCCTCCCTCCTTCACTTGCCCTACCTTGTCAACACCCCTCCCCCAACCCCTCTCTCTTTTCTCCATATCCTCCTCCCATAGAAAGGATCGAGAATCGGCAGGAAAGGCGAGGAAGGGAGAATAACCGGGGAAAAGAGGAGAAAAAGGCTAGGGATAGACTGAACGGCACCATGACTCGCCACGAGCAAAGGCAGCGGACGAACTCGGCCACTTCGTTTCATTCGTTAAACTCGTCGCGCTACAGTCCAGAGATGACCATGCCTTCCGTTTCCCAGGGTGTGCGGAACGTTATCCACGTCCCCGCGAGACCGCGCAAGTGAGTTCTTCCTGTCGGGGGCTACATGTTCAATTTGAATCCCGAATTCCAGATTCCCCCCCCCTCTTTCTTCTCCCATCATTGTTAATGTTCACCGCTATTTCCTGTGAATCGGTATCTTTTTTTCTTTTCTTTTTCTTTTGGGTGCGAATGTCCGGGGGAGTGGCAGGCCCGTGTACCCCGTCATGGGTCTCATTGAGCGCTGACGCGATGTTTATGCGGTATCCCGCATGATTCGCTGGGCACCTTATAGATTTGACAGAGAACATAACGTTTCTCCTAGTTCTTTCACGCCCTCCCCACCTCTCTCTTCGCCCAACGCTGTTTCTATGATGAATCTAGGCGATCACCGTCGCGATCTTTCCGTCTTGCAGACCCCCCCTTTCGTCCTCCGGCAAAACCCTCCTTCCTCTTCGAACTCTGCTAATGGTACTGCAAATTCTGCCGTTACTCCATCAACTTACCTCAACAATAACTCCTTTGACTCGCACGATCAGTTTGGACTTTCGCCACCTGTTCGCCCGGGCACCGCTCCGTCCGCGGGAACCCAGAATCCGAGTGATGGTTACTTTTCAATTGACGACCGAAGGCCTTCGGTCGCCTCTGTCGTTACTAATGCCTCGTCGACGGGTTCAAAGTCGTCTATAGGTAAATCTTTTTACACTGGCTACAAGAAGATTTTTGGTGACAATGACAACAATAATGCGGGGGAGAGTCCTGGATCTTCTGAAACGTCCCTACCACCGAATGCCACTCCTCGTTCGCATTACGGATTTCCCAGGCCAACCACTCCCACAAACTCGCGGCCAAGGACGCCCTTGCCCTCTTCCGATGTGGTACCGTTCATTTATCAAGATCCAGATGTGAGTGGTGTGGGTAGATTAGCTGTTTGTAGAGGATAGCCGCTTATACTTTAATTCTTTTTGAATTTTATAGGATATTCGTCGCTTGGGCGATGCTCCTGTTCGTGATGCTCCAATTGTCGATAGGCAGAGGTACGGTTCTGAGGACGCGAGTGCGTCATCATCCCATAGCCACAGGTTACATTTGCATAGGAACAGGAATAAGGAGAGGGATAAGGAGAAGGACAGGGCTGTTGAGAAGGAGCTGCCCCCTAGACCATCGTCGGCCAGCAAGGACTCAGCATCGTTGCCGGGTCAAGACTACCGGAGGGGCTTAAGGTTGCATTTGGATGGAACGGCCTCCTCGCACTCGTCTCAGACGAGGTTGATTAGACCCGGTTCACCGACCCCGTCAATAGCGAGTTCTTTGTCCAACAACCCGCCTAAATCCCCTGGCGAATATGCCCAGAAGAAAACGTCGTTGTGGGACAAGATTTGGAAGAAGGATAAGGATCAGAGCGGGGAATCCGAGAAGGAAGCCTCGATAAGGTCCAAGAGGTCTAAAATTTCCGATAAGCCAACCGATCCTTTGAGTGTTTCTACCAGTGGTATCTCCCCCGTTCATACCACCCCAAAGAGGGGCTCCGGGGGTAACGAATTTGTCAATCCTCGTACATTTGAATACGCTCCAGTTGAGCAGATGCCGGCCCGAAAGCAGATAACCGGGAAAGCCCCCGAGAGCTATGGTAGAGTGAGGGCAGCAAAGAGGGGAGTTCTATATGAGGCACCTGGTGGGAAGGATCTGGGATCCAATAGGAGGGGTCGTGGATCCAAGGGCTCCGAGGAGGCTGGGACAACTTTCCAACTTGATTCCGACTTCTCGAACATACACGACATTGTTAAGTTGCCTGGACCCGCCCAGGCTTCTGATCCGGGCCCGGACAATCCTTGTCTTACCCACGAAGAGATGGCACCAGCACGTAGCGATATCACGTGGAAGCCCCCCGAGAGTTGGGATTCTGTGGATCCCGAGAATGTGATACCGGAGAAGACTGCAGAGGACGAGGGGGGGGAAGAAGATGCGCAGGTACTCATTTGGAGTCATCCATTATGTTTATGCTTGGTGTTTGAGGACATGGGCTAATGGTTTTAGTATTGCATTCGGGTTTTCAGGGCAGACTCAACTTTTGCAACACTTTCTTGTAGGTTGCAAACCTCTGCTACGGAAGTCCTAAATTTGCTTGGAAGGAAGTCTTTCTTGCAGGACGACTTGAAGAATTACCAGATCGTTATGAGGAAGAATGGGGTGCAACGGATACTTGGCCCCAACGAGAGGCCTCTTAAGATTCAGAAACAATTGCTTGAACAGGCCGGCTATACTGAGGATGACCATCTGGATGAAATTGGACGCGAGGATCATAGCTATATGTGCCGTTTCACTTTCATGATGTCTCGGATGAGAAACAATTACTCCTTGGTATGATTTCCTGGCTTTCTTCTTCTTGCCTCCCCTCCCCCTATGTTTGAGGTTGTCCGGACTAACTTTGGGGGACTTGCAGGACCAGGACCCTGGACTGGGAAAATTGCAGAAATATAGCCATGTTGACCTTCAAGGCCGGAATCTACTAGCAATACCTATTGCCCTCTATCATCATGCGGGAGAAATCATCTCACTAAATCTGTCTCGAAATCTCTCACTCAATATACCAACTGACTTTATCCAACAATGTGTCAATTTGAGAAAAATCGAGTTCCAGGGCAATGAAGCAGAAAAACTCGCGCAGAGTATATCAGCTGCATCAAGGTTGACCTACCTGGACGTTTCCAATAACCGTTTGGAGGAATTAGATCATGCATCTTTGGAGAATCATGCATCGCTGGTCGCTTTGAAAATGGCCAATAATCGGCTTCGATCGTTGCCGGATACATTTAGCCAGTTCAAGAGCCTGAGAAGTTTAAACCTCTCTTCCAACTACCTCGCCGCGTTCCCGCCATTTATCTGCGAGTTGCTTACTTTGGTGGATCTCGATATCTCGTTCAATTTGATCAAGAGTCTTCCGTTGGAGATTGGACAGCTTGGGAATCTTGAGCGTTTTATTGCAACCAACAATAGACTTACCGGATCTCTCCCGCCTACATTTTCCCTGCTGAATGGGTTGAAGGAACTAGACTTGCGTTACAATAGCCTAGTCAATGTTGATGTTGCGGCAGATCTACCGAAATTGGAGACTTTGCTCACTGGTCACAATGCCATTTCCGGATTCCAGCACTCGTTCCCCAAGTTGCGAGCCTTAAACTTGAATTCGTGTCCTGTTACCAGATTCAATTTTCCATCGGCTATGCCGACACTGAAGTTTCTCAGTTTACAGAATGCAAAGATCGCGGCATTGGCAGAGACTCTTTTTGAGAGGTTGCCTAACCTGGAGCGACTTGTTCTGGACAAAAACCATATCGTCTCTTTCCCACCGCAGATATGCAAACTCAAGAAGCTGGCGCATATGAGTTGTTTCAATAATAAGCTTGCATCACTACCCAAGGAGATCGGGCAGCTAACGGATTTGCGTGTTTTGGATCTGCACGAGAATAATCTGAAAACACTTCCGGGGGAGATTTGGCAGATGGCTAATTTAGTAACGTTGAATTTGTCCTCCAATCTCCTCAGGGAGTTCCCAAAGCCGGTATCGAGTCCGGCTGCGCAGTCGCCCTCGATAGAGACCACCTCAATTCTATCATCGGGCAAGGATGATGAGACGATAAGGCTGGATAATTCGAGGAGGCCTTCGCAAGCTTCCGGCGGCCTACTGAGTGTTGGCAGCTCACCTGGTGGAAGTGGCAGGAAAGGCTCATTGGTTTCAATTTATGGCCCTGGGGGAAGGAAGGCGTCTGTTATCTCCGGATCTGGCTCTGAACATGGCACAACTGGAACCCATCCTAGCACAAGAAAGGATTCCGCCGCCTCAAGCCGTATCTCCAACACATTCGCTTTCTCCCTTCGGCATCTCCACATTGCGGATAACAAACTTTCTGACGAGGTCTTTGAGCAATTATCTTTGTTGTCTGAATTGAGGATCTTGAACCTGTCCTACAACGAGATTTATGATATCCCTTCACGAGCGCTGAGTAGATTGTCGCTGCTCAATGAGCTCTATTTGTCTGGGAACGAGTTGACGAGTCTACCGGCAGAGGATCTAGAACATGTGGCGTCACTCAAGGTGTTGCACATCAACTCTAACAAGTTCCAAACCTTGCCTGCAGAGCTTGGTAAGGTCAGGAAGCTATTGGTATTAGATGTTGGTAGTAATGCCTTGAAGTACAATATCTCCAACTGGCCATACGATTGGAACTGGTAAGTCTTTCCTTTCTCCCTGGGACTACATCACTTGCTAACCAACGTTTATTCAGGAATTGGAACCTGGACCTCAAGTACCTGAATCTGTCAGGTAACAAGCGTTTAGAAATCAAGCCCGATCGCGGCTCTGGTTCTGGACGTGAGCGTAGCATTACCGATTTTAGTCAGCTATCCAAACTCCGGGTTCTGGGCCTGATGGATGTCACCTTGACAATACCTAATGTGCCTGAAAAAACTGAGGATCGCCGTGTTCGCTTATCGACATCGATGGTCCGTTCAATGGCGTATGGGATGGCTGATTCGTTAGGGAGGAGTGAGCATCTGTCGATGATTGATATGGTTATTCCAATGTTTCGTGGGAATCGCGGTGAATGCGTGATTGGGCTCTTCGATGGGCAAGCCCTCTCGACCGGAGGGAGTAAAATTTCGAAATACCTGCACGAGCAGTTGGATACATTTCTAAAGGATGAATTGGACAAGCTTCGCCCCGACGAGAAACCAGGGCGAGCTTTGCATCGTGCATTCCTCAATATGAACAAGGAGATGGCTACGGTGGCAATGCAGACAATGGACGAAAAGAGCCTCAGTGGGGTCGGCTCGCATCGGGGGTGTCCGGCTTCTGGCGCATTCCTTGGCCCAGATGATCTTGTCTCCGGTGGATCAGCCACGGTTGTTTACATGGAAGGCAACAACCTCTACGTTGCCAATGTGGGAGATGTCACGGCTATGCTGGTTCAGTCGAGTGGGGAACATGATATACTGACTAAAAAGCACATGCCTGGGGATCCGCAGGAATTGGAGAGGATTCGTGATGCTGGAGGCTATGTTTCAAAGAGTGGGAAGCTAAACGATGTACTTGATGTGTCTCGCGCCTTTGGTTATTACCATCTTATGCCCTGCGTCAATGCCGCGCCTCATATTCACGAGACAAGGATCACGGATCAGGAGGAGTTGCTTATTATTGCTAGCAAGGAATTGTGGGAGTATATTAGTCCGCAGGCTGTTGTCGATCTCGCACGTTCGGAGAGAGATGATTTGATGCGGGCTGCCCATAAACTAAGGGATATTGCTATTGCATACGGCGCGGCGAGCAAAATTATGGTCATGATACTTAACGTTGGGGATCTCAAGAAATCCAAAAGTAGGATGCGCACCCAGTCGATTTCTGTGGGTCCTAGGCAGACATATCCCGACGAAGAGGCACTATTCCCATCGGTGAAGGCTCAGAAAAGGAGAGGGAAGAACGAGATTCCGGATGACTTCACGTTGGCTCGTCTCGATGCTGAGGTAAAGGCGCCTGAGGGGGACTTGGCTATGGTGTTTACGGATATCAAGAACTCAACCTTGCTATGGGAAACGTACCCGACGGCGATGCGTTCCGGTATCAAGCTGCATAACAGTATCATGAGACGGCAATTGAGAATTGTGGGGGGCTATGAGGTTAAGACTGAGGGTGATGCCTTTATGGTTTGCTTTCCAACTGCCACTTCGGCGTTGCTTTGGTGCTTTAGTGTTCAGGCAATCCTACTGGATGCGCCCTGGCCGTCGGAGATCGTTGAGTCAATCCACGGCAGTCCTGTTCAGGACGCCAACGGTCATCTTATCTATCGGGGTTTGTCGGTACGAATGGGCATCCACTGGGGCGCTCCTGTGTGTGAACCGGATCCGATTACGCGTCGCATGGATTATTTCGGACCTATGGTCAACCGCGCCTCTCGCGTCACGTCGGAAGCGGATGGTGGTCAAATAACGGTCAGCTCTGATTTCGTCGCTGAAATCAATCGGTGTGTTAAGGCCTATCAGGATTCCGAGCTGGTTGGAATGCTGTCACCTGATGATCCCTTTGGGGACGAGTCGCTTGCGCAAACCATTGGCAGAGAGCTCAGAACGCTGAGCAGTCAAGGCTTTGAGGTCAAGGCACTCGGAGAACGTAAACTCAAGGGGCTTGAGAATCCAGAATTCGTCTACCTGATGTATCCTCAGTCACTCGTGGGCCGTTTGACCAGCTTGGGACCTCCTAAAGGTGAGGTTTCAAAGACGACCATTGATCCGGCCGATATCTGGGCTTTATGGGAAATCTCTCTTAGGCTGGAAGGATTGTGTTCATCGCTCAATACCAACAGTGCGCCATTCCTGAAGCCACGCGGAGTTGACATGACCACTAGATTGAAGCTCGCGGGGGAGAATGCTACAGACCAGGTTTTAATGCCCTTCTTTGAGCATATAGTCACCCGCATCGAGGTAAGTGGTTTGTTTCTGATCCTGATTTTCTAAACTAACATGTAACTAGAGCTCCATGACAACACTCTTCCTTCGTAGGGTCCTCGCACCGCCAGGCTCTAGCATACAGGAGACGGCGTCCCCCTTAATGGATTTGCTTTCGGCCCTCGAAGCGAGGGCAGGTGTTAATATCAGCGGAAGAGCGGTCGCATCTGCAACCTATGGTGGGGTTAGCTCCTCGGCATCGTCTTCCTATTCTGCTTCATAGCGGATCTATCGTTACTATCGCGATTAGGAAGGGAAGAAGAATGGTCTGTCCATTCGGCTACCATCGCATCGTGTTTACATGTTTTGTCCTTTTACTTTTTTTTTTTTTTGCTTGTTTGCTTGGTTGATTGCTTGTTCGGGTGGTTTCGGCGAAATGGGGTTGTACTGGTTTCTTCTCGTCTATTTTCTCTGCTAGTTGCTTTTCCTCAAATGCTTTTACTAGTTCTCCGGGTGTCCGCTTGTAGCATTCGTATAATCCATCCTTACACACATGGGAATTATATTTTTGCGTTCCACGTGTTTCTCCTATTTTTTTTGCCTAATTGTTTGTTTACTGGGCGCGAAAACAAAAGTTGGATTTACTTTTTTCCTTTCGTTTTTGTTTGGTTTGGGTTGCTTAGGCTGGGTGTGGTTGGTTGGTTGGATAGGAATTTGATTTTTCTTCTCAGAATTGGTTGCTTGCTTTTCTGGTGCGGTCGTGTGTTTACGTGATATCATCTTCTAGGGTTAGCGTTGCGGTGTATATGTGTAATGAGGTGGATGACTTTTGCTCGAGTACCTATTAAACATATCGGGCTGTATTGTATCTCAGTAGTGGAATTCCGATTATACGTAGAGTTAGTGCCTGCTTGTTCATGAACGATCACTCGTTGGATTAAGATTATGCCTATAATCTTACCCTGCTTGTGTTTGCGTTGGCTGTTGGGGTTTTGGGGGGTTTGGGGGTCTTTTCTTCTTCTTGTTTCGCATTCGATATCATGTGCTGCACGTGTGTGCCAGAATTAATGATGGAAATCACCCTGTTATACCACTAACGCAACTTCTTCCCGTCGAGTGCAACGGACCGACCGACTGGCCAGCTAACGGGGAAAGATCTGGCGTGAACGTTCTAAAACCTGACGGGGGAATTCGCGCCGGTGCTGGGTTGGTTCGAGTTTGCGGTTGAAAGTGCGCTCGGGTAGTGGTTTTGGGGGTGAGGTGGTAGGGACATGTAGAGATTATGGGTGGTGCGTGGGGGTGGGAGGAGAGACTGATGCTGTATGGGGTGCTGGTAATCCGTGTCATGGGAGATCACTCGTGCGGTAGGTTCCGCTGGGTTTTTTCGGACTTGGAGTGATCTGGAGGGGGTGGTATGCGGCTGGTCCTGGTATTCTTCTGTCTTGCGCTGGCCTGTGTGCTCGCACTTGTGTGAAAACCAGGTTATGGTTGTATGATAGCTATAGTGATTGAGTGCAGATATAATAGCACACATGTGGGGTATGAGGCATCTAAATTCTGCCTCGTGGATCGGAAATATAGGAATTTTGTCTAAACTAAGTTGCACGGTTCCGCATGCTCTCGAATACAAACCACCTACCCATAAAAGTAGACAACAGCGAAAGAAAAAAAAAAGAAGCAAGAAGGATCAAACCCTAAGCACGAACCTGCACGGTTACTTCAGGTCACTCCCCCACCTCCCAACCTCCACCATCGCCCTCTCGCCCCCCTCCTCGAGCTCCCTCCTACCGAGAACCCCAGCAAGGCACTTCCACCCATTCCTACTACCGCCCCACTTGAGTACCTCCTCCTTAAACTTCTCCCCACCCTCCCGCCGGGTCGGCTCTGCCTCGAACACGTCCTTCCACACCTTCGCTGCGATCGCACGGTCAAATAGATAAGCGTAGTAAGTGGCGCCGTAACTATACAAATGCCCAAAGAAGCCCTGCCAGCTGGTGCCCTCTCCGGCCGGTAATAGTGCGTAAGCACGATCAATCTCGTGGAATACAGCGGTGGAATTGAAGTCGCGGGAGAGCGGGAGCGCGGAGTGGTAGTGTTGGTCGAGCAGGGCTAGGATTATCTGGCCGCGGGTTTCTGTGGCATCAGCGAGGGATTCCTGGTGTAGGCGGTCGGCGATGAGGTGCATGGGTAAGGGCTCGTCGCTTTCGTAGTGGCGTGCAAAAAGAGAGAGGACGGCGGGGGATTGGGCAAAATGCTCCATTAGCACGCTCGGCAGCTCGGCCCAGTCCGTTGCGCAGCGGGTCCCCGAAACGTTGTGGAGGCTCGTGCGCCCCAGGATGGAGTGCACTGCGTGACCCATCTCGTGGAATAGGGTTTGGACTTCGCGGAAGTTTAGGAGTGTGGGGCGTTTGCTTGGGTCTCCGCGGGAGAAGTCGCAGATCAGTGCTATCGTGGGGAGTTGGTAGAGTTTACCGTCTGCCCGCCGGGCTGAGGCCATGCCATCATCTTCGCGGTCACCGGATAGTGCGGACTCGAGGTACTCCTCGTCGGTGATTTCTCGGGAACAGCGGACGGTGAAGTGTGCTGGGTTTGGGTTCTTCCCCCGGCGCTCAAAGAGGTCGCAGTAGACCACCGCTATGTGTCCGTCGGATTCGTCAAGAATATCCAGACGCCGGACGTCGTCGTTCCAGGTCTCACCCGGAGAGGTTTCACGGGGGACGAAGCGGACACCGTATAGTCTTGTTAGGAGCCTTGAGAGGCCTTGCATCACAGTTCCTAGGGAGAAGTAGGAAGAGAGAAAGTCGGGTGAGCGGTGGTGAGAGCGGATTGCCTGGATTAGCCTCGTGGAGTAGTAGTCTTTATCCCAAGCTTGTAATTCAGTGTCGTTTCCCAGTTCCCTCTTGATACTCTGTAGGATATTTTTCTCCGATACAGCAGCGGGTTTATTAGCTTCTGAGAGCGCATTCAAAAACTTCAGGACAGCTTCCGGCGACCGAGCCATCTTATCTCCAAGCGCTACCTCCGCATAAGATTCACATCCAACTAGTTGCGCCAACTCCGCTCTGGTTCTCAACATCTCCTCCAAAATCTCCAACTGCTTATTGGAACTGGTATGGCAAGCAAGATATACCTCCTTCCGAACGTCCTCATCCTCCACCATCCTCAAAGCATGAGTGGCCGGCATCCCAATAGTTGGCAGCGCCACGGTCCCCTTATTCGTCAGTTCCCGTACAATCAACGGATCCATCCCGTGCAATTTCGAGCTCGGGAACTTGAGCACGCTCTTCTGCGGCGCCATCCCATTGACAAACTCAGGCCCTAATTCCGCAATCCGGTTGCTCAACTCGACAAACCTCTTCCGTGCTGTAGCGGGGAGGTTAATTCCACTCTTTTCAAAATCCTTATATAGAATTCTCGCAACAGTCTTCTCCTCATCAGACAACTGCTCAACAACCTCCTGATTCTCCAGTGCCCTCTTCAAAGTGCTGTAGAGTCCCGTAGTAGTATTCAAGATGTTCATGTACTCGTACATGAGTCCGTAAGCTTCGTGTGCCGCCACCGCAATACTCTGTGTCGGATGGGTGGATCGGACGAAATCCGCCATGTCTATAACTCGACATAGCAGGTCACTGAGCCTATCCAAATCCCTCACAACATGCAGTAATTCCTCGAGGGACTGCGCGTTGACAATCTTAGCGACGAGTGCCTGCGCCTTTTTTAACGTTCGATTCGCATAGGTTTGGAACCCAGCTGGTGATGTCAAGTCTTTGTTCTGGAACAAGCCGGTTCGTGGAACGGTCGGTGCGTGCGATTTCGCATTGAACGCTTTCCAGACCTCTGGATTGTCGCTGAGCAGGATTGATCAGTCATTGAATTTATTTATAATCTGCGGAATTGACAATTTAAAGGAATAGGATATAAAAAATCCTACAATATATCTCTGAGAGTCCTATCCTCCTTTGCAGCGGCGGGGTTGGTATGGACCGTTGGTGAATAAGCTCTCGCTGTCGCCGCCGCCAACGATAGAGCACTAGGCTCAACAGCAGTGGCTAGCCTCCGGGTCTGAACATTCTTTAGCAAACATCTCGAGCATAATGTCCATGACCTGGGAAGGGCTCTGATCATCTCAGCTGATGAACCTCGCTTCCCGAGCGCAGAGATTGAAAGGGAGGGGAAAAAGAAAGGAGGAAAAAAGGAGGAAAGAAGAATCGGTATCCTAGAGATAAAGGCGGGCGTTACTTGCTTGGTTCGTTGGTGGGGTTATCAGATGAAAATTCAGAAAAGTTTCTAATCGGAGTCTAGAAGCACATCATCAGATTAGATCTTTTGCTTAATCATCATGTGGTACTATAATAGAATTGCTGGACAACCAAAACCTGCCCTTGGACCCGCCGCTTCATGAGAGCGTGTGATATGATTCCCCCAGGTCCAATTATTTAAATAATTTAGGACCGGTCTGTAATTATTTTCTTCCCCTTTCGCCTATAGGAATGCAAGGAGTTGCTGTGGATGGAGTTGGTATTAAAAGTGTTGCACATATGTTACCAAAGAGCCCATGCAACATGATTCCGGTTCTCGATTTCGAACTCATTGATACAAGGGTTTGCAATGGTATCCTCTACAGAATTACCAGTTTAAATTTATTTCCTTCCTCAAGTATCATTCTGATAATTCGGCATGCTTGGATTTTCCAAGAACTCTCGATGCACGGTGGGTTTGGTTGCCTAGCCCCTAGCGCCATCCATAACAAGATTTCGCTGTGCTCAACTTGACCCCGAAGCGAAAGAGAACTCGGAATACAGGGCAGGTATTGACATCTCGGCTTCGCTAGTTTCTATACAATTGTGAAGAATTAAGTCCGGCTTATTACTGGATACCGGTACTGCTATGGCTGAGAGTTGGGCCGTCAGGCCTCTCCTTGATCCTGCCTCGCATCATACTAGATGTAGGAGTCGGCTAAGCTTCATGCTATCGCAGCAGTACCAGTATAGATAGTGGTATGGAGGGGGTTAAAGGAAACACTTCCCGGGATACATATCATACTTGCACTCATGCCCTGAGTGAGGCATAAAGCCTTCTCTCCACCGCGCCCGCCTCTGATCCCCTTCATGGCGCGCTCCTGGTATTCATACCTGTAAAAGATGGCTGGATAAAACAAATAAATAAGATAATACCAATTGGACGCGCAGTAGTGCGCTACCAGTCTTGTGCCCGAGTATCATAGGATCTTGACCACAAGAGAAACTAGCATCCGCAGGGTGTTTTAGGCAGTACTTGTACTCGAGCACAGGTATAACCAGTCTGAAAAGGCGCCACCCACCGCCATAACCTCAGGGGGATCCAGTCATTTTTTAGATAACACAATTTGACATGAAGGCTCACATACTTTATGGCCAAATTACAGAGACCGAGCGCCAGAGTTTGGGAGGGACCACTAAAACACTGCCAAGATGGACGATTTGTGTGCTAAATTCCCTATAACCCTTCTCCATCAAATTATTTTCTGGAGGAGAAAACTTGCTGTATGAGTACTGTACTCAAGCACGCCTACTGGTACGTGGTGGTAGTTGGCTGAACTTGGAAATATCAGCTTCTTTCACCGCTAAGCCGGTATGATATGATGGCATTCCTAAGCGCCTTCCGTAGCTTGATTACATAAATTCAAACCTCCCGGTCGCCCTGCAAGTGAAAAAGAGTCCGCCACATCACGTGATGCAACGGGTCTCCGGGCCACACCAGCTTTCCTTCCTTCTTGTCGCTCGATCATTCGTCCACCCGCCTTCCATCTGCCCATCCATCCCCTCTCCACACTCACCGCCCAGCACAACTTCGCCGATTCCTCCAGAACTTCCAACAGCAAATAAGTAAACAAACACAGATCCGCAGCACAGCAACAATGGAAGTCGGACCTGCACCCGCGACGTTCACCCAAACAGCGCCTGCAATAACGACGGAATTCCCCTCATTCACTTCAGCAACCGGCTCCAAATCCCGAAAATTCCGACGCAGGCCGGCGGAAGACGATGACGAGCTTGCCCCTACCCCTACTCCTACCACTGGCACTACTACTACCACTACTACTACTACTGCCGCTGCCGCTGCCGCCGCTACCCCGTCACAACCCTCACAAGCTACGACGGAGGAAACTGCCTATACCATCGCGCCAGCCTCATCGCCCCCCCACTCTCCCAATGCCGAAGGCTTGGAACCAACTCCCAGCCTAGCGGAGATCCTCCGCCTCCGCAAGAAAATTGCGCGAACCTCCGCACTCAGAGGGCTGGAAGTCTCGGCTCCAAAGCACACCCAGCAAGCACCGGCGCAGAATCTAGAAGTCAACGGGGGCGCCGCTACGAAGGCGGTGACAGAGGCGGAATTAGAGGCTGTGGTGAACAGGTTTACACATCAGACGGGGCAGATTCTTGATGTGGATAAACATATGATGGCGTACATTGAGAGTGAGATGAGTAAGCGGCGGGGTGAGCGGAGTGGAGACGGATCTGGCGGGGGGGGAGGGAGCACTGGTGCTAGGAGCGGAGGAGGAGGTGGTGGTATCGGTGGTAGGACGGGCCAGGAGGGCGGCAGATCTGCATACTGGACTCCAGTAGTGCCGGAAGGTCGCGGCGCAACATTGGGAAAACTCCATGAAGTGGATCTTGGCGAAGAGACCAAGAAACACAACATAGCCAGAACCCAAGAAGCCACCCGCCGCCTGCAAGGTGGGGAAGAAATCGAGGATGATCCCTCCACTACGCCCAACGCATCAACCGCCAGCAATATCCCTGGCCGAAAGAAAATGAAGAACCGCCGGCGTAGGAATAGTCAGGACGTGCAAAGAGATAAACTCGTCGAGGAAGTCCTCAAAGAGAGCAGACGTACACCCCCCACTCCCACCCCTTCCGCCCCTAGTGCTGAGCTAATCTTTTTTTTTCTTCCCCAAAGTGGAAATGTACACAGACCCGGACCCAACCGAAGACCAGCGCGAAAGCGAAGGCGCAGCAGACGACCGTATCGCCGAGAAATTCCGCCGGGAATTCCTCGACGCGCTAATGACCCGCCGTAGGCGTCGCGGCGGAGACGGGAAGAAGAAGCGCGACGAGAACAAGAAGCCGAGAGGTCCCAAGCTTGGTGGGAGCAGGCAGGCTAGGGCTGCTATGCGTGAGAGTCAGAATGCTGCTGGCGGGTCTGGAACTGGGAAGAAGAAGAAGTGAACATGACATTGGAAGATTGTACAGATATTTTAATGCTTGACTTATGGTTCTTGATGGGATGGCGTTTTTTTGTGTGTTGTGTTACGGTTTGTTTGTTCGTTTTGTACTGGATGTTTTTTTTTTTTTGTGGATTGGAGGCAAGTAGTGAGAAATGGGTTTTCTTGTCTGGGACTTGGATCCTGTGGGATTGTTGCTGTATCATGGATAGGTATATGGGCAATTAGCGTTTCGTAGATAGCTTATGGCACTTGTAGTCACCGGGAAATTCATAGGCTGATACAGTACGGTATGATGCAATACTTCCACCCAGTCCCATAGCACAACTTTTGGTATTGGTATTTGACAACATCATCAGAAACCCCGTGGTATCGGTCGACAGCCATACACCAAGACCAATATCCTTGACTGAGTGGGCAGTGATTAAAGAGAAGCCCTGATCTAGTAGAAGCAACTCCCACCGCAACCACATTAACCACACTAACCACTACCACCCTTTACCCGCTCATTCACCCAAAACGTAAGGGCCGTCGCTCCGCAGGCCGCGTCAAGGAGGAAGAAAAAGCCGCAAACAAATCATTACTCCAGATCCCTCACCAAATTCATCGCCACCTTCCTCCTGAACCCTTCCCTATTCCTCTTCTTTTTCCCAACCTTTGCAAGGTCCTTTATACTATCCATGACCATAGTAGCGCTGGTAGTCGGATCATCCTCCCTAATTGCAACCTTGAGTATGATAGCCCCCGTGTTGGCCATCTCGTCCGTAGCAAAGAAGCGAAGTTTTTCCTCTCGAATGATCCCGGTCGGGTACACGCTTCCCACGACGCGAGCTATAGCGCCCAGGTAGCGTGCCCAGTAAGACAACTCCGGGCCGACAAGGTCTTGCAGGCGAGTCTTGAGATTCGAATCGGAGACTTCTCCGCCCCAGCGTTCGCACAGGGAGAGTGCTAGGAGGGCACGGGTCTCGTGGGTCAGGCCATGGGCGCTGGCGAGGATTCCAGTTGTGGTGCTGTGCAGGCCGCAGGAGGCGCGAGATTCTTTGGGCACGTTGGAGTGGTAGATTAACATATTTGAGAGGGCGGGCGCCGTCTCGAAACGGATGATGAAGGGGGCCGAGCGTGGAAGGGCGTAGTTTAGGAGGGGACCGACGAGCTCGGCGGATCTAGGAGCGAAGGGGAGTGTTGCCACGTGGAGTGGGTCCTGAGCCCGGATCTCCTGGGGGAGCTTTTCAAAGATGGCACCTTCTCGGACGCCGCCTGGATTTGTTTGTAAGAGGAGTGACGGTAGAGGGAAGGGAGAGGGTGGTACCTTGACAGAAAATTACAGTTTTGATTTTGGGGAGCGTCTCGATCAGTGTATTGATCAGGAACGCTACAGCGGGAATTTGCCTCGCTCTGCGGCCAGAAATCCGGAACTTTTCGTCCAAGCGATCACTCAATTCGGGGTCCAAGTGCAGGTCCGCCAGGCTCGAGAACGCACTCCCTGGTGCTTTGAACCCATTGATTATAGGCACGGGGTAAGGTTTGATATCATGCTGATCCAAGAGCAAGTATCCAAACCCTCTGAATCCACCGCCGGACAGATACATGGTAAATCCACCCTCGGCCTCAGCATCAAGCTGCAAATCCTTTGGTATTTGCAGCGAGATAAAGGCGTCGGCAATCCTCCCCTTCATTTCATCCCTCAACATTCCTATAGCCGCCGCATCTATCGCTGTTTCGATTCTCTTCGTCAGTGCCGCAGCGCCATATGGCATACTGACTGGCTTCCCCGCCATCTTGCAAACCCCCTTCTCGCTCCTCATCCAACTAAGCTGTGTACTCCCACCACCAAGGTCCATGACGAGGCCCGTCACACTACCGATAGAGCTCGCAACGCCCTCAGCTCCGATTCTCGCTTCCTCGCTCTTGGAAAGAAGCTCCACATCCCAACCCGAGGCTTCGGTAATCCTGTCGCGAAACTCGGTAGAGTTCTGAGCTTCCCTTGTGGCCTCGGTGGCAACCACGCGGACATTCTGATCCGGCACGCCAAAATCATGGCAGATGGATTTGAAGCGTTGCATGGAGGTTAGGATCTGGCCGATGACCTTATTGGAGATGGGGGATTTTGTCGTCCCACTGAACTGCGCATCGTATAGCGAGATGGCAGCGCGGTCTTGGAAAATGGTGGGTAGTATACGGGCCGTCGCGGGGTCAAGGTTCGAGATGGAGAAACGGACGCCGTTGCTAGATGCGAGTTTTTAGCAAACAAACACACCCCCCCATCAAACTTCTCCTTCTGGTTAGCAGCTAGTGGGTGGAGCAGTAAGAACCTACCTCCCGATATCGACCAGTCCATGAAGGAGAGGATTCTGCTGTACTGTTTCTTCTGTCATGATTTCTCGATTGTGAATTCGTTTGGCCGTTTGTTCGCCCTTCTACCGTACGGGTACGAAAATTTTGAAGAGGGGAAAGATTGTGACGAGGGAGCACCGAAGCTGATAGTCTAGTTCTTGTCCGGTTTTCGAGTCACGCCACCCTCAGTTTCCATATGGCAACGTCTACGGTGGCGGGGCGGGGCAGGGCAGGGGGGGGGTTGGCGAGCGGGCAGGAAGAGGAAAACTAGCATGTGAGTTTTTTTATGTCAAGAGTCTTGGCACGCATATCTAGGGTCTATTCCGGGAGGAAATCGAGGGTCCTCTTATATACCGCACGTCGTAGTACGAGTATAGTACAGTACAGTACGAGTACTCCAGCCCTGGCACCGTATTAATTTTACCGAATAATATCACTCCGGTTTGACTACCGTACTCGAGTAGGGGGCATTAGTAGGTGGTATCGCGTGGGATAAGCAAAAGGGTATGATACTCCATCTGCGGGATGATATCACGTGGGATCGGGTCGGTGGCGGCCCGTTAGGGAAGATCAGGGACTGAGCATTTATCCGGCCGCATGGGACTGGAGCTTCTGGAATAGTGGCCGTTATGATACTCGAGCACATAACGTCTGTTCCTACACTTACGTAAATCTCACCACAGCGATCTGCTAGCGGTACTGTCGTAATTATTGAGGATTTGGCAATGAAATGGAGCAGATTATCTAATTGACAACTGCGAGTGCAACCGGATCGATGAATCGGGGGGGAAGTACGGGTAGCTCGGAATCCGGTCCTGTGCCCGATTTCCGGGATTCAGCGAATCGGCCGGCTTGGTTATCCGTCCCACCGCAGGGCTCACTCACCCAGAGATTTTATTTTTATTTTTTTTAGCTCTCGATCTCTTGATGGATATTTGGGTCAGTGTGCAATCGGTCTAGGGTGTCCCTGCGCGCCTCGGAAATTACGGGGAACAGGTTTACAATCGGGCTACGATGCAGGTATGATATGATAGAATTTGAGGGATTCTGCTGGGGTTGGTAATTTTATGATAAGCCGATCAACAGTCTATGTACGAGATCTGATCCGGGGGTGTGATAGAGGGCTTGCCCTCATACCCCTGGTTGAATTAGCATGCTTGCGATCCACGTAACTTATGGCACATGATATGATATCTTGATGTGGGTCCACGCGGTGATGCCCAGCTCTTTGTCTTCGCACGTAATGCCTCGGCGTGAGGGGAATGCGACAAATAGAGCTATTGGTCCCCGAAGGGTTGCTATCTGCTATCTGGTATCTGAAGCTACGAGTGATATCTGATGAATCCCATGCATCGGAGTGTTGATATACTTTTAACTTCACTGATAAAGAGTTTAGGGAAGGGAGGAAGTTAGAAAGAGGCGAAAAGAGAGATAGCAAGCTATCATCCGAGCGGGCAAAATTGATGAAAAATCGAAAAATATATTAAGGATTTGTTTTGATTTATTTAGAGAAAGGAAAAAAAAGGAAAACCAAACTAAAAAAGGCCGCTGCACTAGGGTTTCCTCCGGACCGGCCTTTCAAAATTTCACAACGATGATTATCTGATAGTAGCGGAAACATTTCGCTTCGGCCTCGAACTGGCTCCCGAGCTGGCTCTTTGTCCACGTTCTTCATCGTCTGATACAGGACAGTAAATCAGTAAGATAAACGCCGCCAATCTAGGCGACTCTGTTGAGCCGCTCGTATGGTGAGTGGGAGCTGACTTATATCTTAGTGGCTTCCGATATCTGTTATAATCAGTGCCGTCATTTGGAGTTTCCCCTGCATAGCACGGTCCTGCAGAGTCTGGCTCGTGGAGTTGTGTGGAAGACATATATCGACCCTCTCATCTGCTAGGAGAAAGTGCACAGTCTCGTTTCGTTGGCTAAATTTTGTATGGTACACCGGTGTGTAGCACTCCGCGGATCCTTGGTTGACTTTGATGTCTATGTTGTCGAGGAGCATTTGAAAGATCCGGCCAAGCACACGGATGGCTGCTTCTATCAAGGGGGTACTGTTGTATGTCGGGGCCGTGTCGCGGGGGCCTCTTATGTCCTGGCGACTGAATCGAAACGACACCACACTATAGTCCCCGGTGCGTACTAAGATGCGCGCTGGAGCCCAGTGTTTGGCGTTTCTTCCGTTAATATTAAGCCCGTCTTTATCTAAAGGGACTGGAACCAACGCTCCTGTTTTCTGGTGCATTGTAAGGTTTGTTAGCATTTCCAGGTCGTGCTTCATCGTGTTGGTATTGGCGTCGGCGATGGTGTTGACTCTCGCCCGGGGATCGCTCAATAAGAGACGCACTATCGCGCAATGTTCCTGGGTGACTGCCCAGTAAAGGGGTGTTTGGTGTTTACTTCCGTAGGGAAAATTGACATCGGTCCGCTCGTCACCCAGTAAGAGCTTCACTACCTCGAGTTTTCCTCTCGTGGTTGCTGCAATCAGCGGTGTATATCCGTGGCAATCGACCAGGTTAACGTCGATTCCTGGGTGGTCTAGGAGAAGCTGTACGAGAGACGCATTACCCTCAGACGCTAAGGCACATAATGGTGTTTCCCCGTTGCTTGCTGAGATGTTGACAAGGACGTCTTTCCTGCCTAAAAGCAGCCGTATCATCGGCTCGCATCGCCCCCGGGTTGCCAGTCCGAGGGGTGTGTCTCCTCCTGGGCCCTGATTGGCGTCAATTCTCTTGTCGTCCAACAGTAACTTAACTACCTCTTCTGCCTTGGCATTGACAGCGGAATATAGTGGCCAGTGTTTATTAACATCAATGTAATGGAGCCCCAAGAGCATTCTTACAATTTCCGCATGCCCGTTCGAAGCCGCTACATCTAGTGGTGCGGGATCGATGGAGTCCCTTTGGCTGTAATCCGTTCGCTTATCAGCTAAGAGAAGTCGGACCATACTTGAGAGGCCATACCAACACGCCCAGTGTAATGCCGTGTAGCTATAAATGTCGCGAATATTGAGCTCTAGATGCGGATTGGCTAGTAAAACTTCGACAACATCAGTGCGGCCGTTTATGACCGCGGAGAATAAAGCTGTTTGGGAGCGAGAGTCTGTCGAATTTATGCTAATATCTGCGTGGGCCAGGAGAAGTTCCGCAACCTCATTGTGTCCGCCCGCGGCCGCTAGGCTGAGCGGTCCTCTTCCAGTATTGTCCAGCACGTTAACGTCGACTTCGTTTCTGGCGATGAGTGTTTGGACCACATTCACGCAACCCGCTTCAGCCGCGTGTGACAATATCGTCCGAGAGTCGGAATATCTTGTGTTGGGGTCAACGCCACAATCCAGCAGTGTTCTCAGGCACTTTCCGCTCTCGTCTGCTGCTACGCGATGGATGACCTCGATCCAGAACCTTTCCCCTACCTGGTCCTTGATTCCACCCGCCAGGAGTCTTTGAAGTCCCACACGGTTGTGGGAATTCACAGCATGAAGTAATACATACCGGGCCCTGAACACGGATAGGGCTAGGACGCGGTCCCATAGATCTTGATTAAGGAGGGCTGCAAAACGGTAGTTTGTTTTGAGCAGAGAATTCAACTCGGGCGTCCCTAAGTGGGTGGATATCAAGAGAATTAATTCGTTCGGCAAATCGAGCAGCGACATGGCATTCTAGAACCGTAGTGTGGGGATTTCCTGAATTAGTCTTAAGCTGAATGCCGAGAAGGGAGGGTTTCATGCTTGCACATACGATATCAACTCGGGCAGCGGTTTATGCGGTGGAATATCGATCACGGTAGGCGTCCAGAGGTACCTAGGTTAACTATCGGTGCTGGTAGTTTGGGTATTTGGGATGGGTCAAGGACCAGTACGGTGCGATACTATCGAGGATCACGCCCCGCGGGGTAAAACATACATTTCCAGCACGATTACTGGAACCGAACGGGGTCGTGCTGAGAAGTACTTTGCCGTGGGAAGTACTGTACTTACTATTTGGGAGTTATCCGGAGGTCTTGGCGTTTCCTCGGCCAAAGAAATGCCGCGTTTGCCTGACCCTTTGAGAACTAGCAAGTATGACACTCATCAAATCTGCTCGAGTACGAGTACATCCGCCAGAGAAATGCAAATATTGGCGAAAAGAGGCTCCACTGTTTGTTATATATATATTAGCGTGGCCGGTAGGCCATCCCATAATCAACAAAGATATTGTCTTCGCCCGTCTCAGATTCTCTCGTTTCCGAGAGATTATGCACGGGATGTCACTCGAGCTAAATTTACTAAGCCGCTACTTGTTGGATACCGGGTTAGTGACCGAGCACAACAAAGGTAGTGTCAAAGAGATGTCTATATGTCATAATGCCCGCGCTGTAGCTGTGAAGGTTTCGAAAATTGAAAGGACCTGTTTATCTCACCTAGAAAGTTGGGCGAGTCACTCTACCACTCGTTCCTAGATACTTTTGGGCGGCATTTGTGGTAGCCCGATTTACAGCACTATGGTAGGGCTTTCCTAATTTATCCTATACTTTACCTGAGTTCCGCGCTCTGTTTTTGTTGGAGGTCTAGTGTAGAGTTTCTTTGCTGTTCATGTCCTTTTTGCTCCTTACTTTTGCTTCTTGTTCTTTTTTTTCTATTCCTCTCCGTCTTGGGAAACTCGATCACATTAGCGTCGGGGCGAGTTTGGTAGACTTCGCCCTTTTTTTTTTTTCTCTCCCGCTATTTTTTTCTCCTAAATTATACTCGGACGCGCAGTGTAGTGTTGATAGAAGGATTTCTTTATTTTCTAAAATGCTTTGTTCGGGTCTTTATTCTATTTCCAACACAGGCCCTGGTCAGGACTTGTGGTGTTTCCGTTGTATCTCGCTCTGCTTCTCCCGTTGTTTCTTTGTTGACTTTGTTTGTTAACGGAGCTGCCTAACCAAGTTAGTACAGGTAGGAAGCGCGGACAAGCTCAACTACCGGTATTGAATTTTTATAAATAGCGGGTATATATCCCTGTCGCTTACTATATTTTGTACCTAACGGGTCCTTACCGAATAACATCTCTCCGTCCTGTTCTGTGTCTTCCGCTACGGGCTATCCCAGATTACTACTGCATGTCTGCGCTCACTCTGAGTGTGGGCCGCGAGAGATGGCGATACTCTATAGAGACTGAAAAACTAAGGAAGAATAGGTATTTATGGCACCTTTTAGCGTCCCGTATCTCACTTATGACTATGAATGGCTTGGAGATTTTAAGCAAGTAATGATAATTGTATAGAATTGCGTTCTCAAACACCAGGAATAGCCCCAAGTAACAGATTTTATGTCCACCGGATACAAAAGAATATCGTAAACTCGCCCCATTCAACGGATAATAATAGCTGATAAGATGATAATGGGTGTAGGATTGCGAATTCCCAGCCTTTCGTACAACCAACTTAGTGGTGGGTCATTTCCGCCAGCTTCTCCCCGAGGCATGTAGCCGTGACTGTAAAATTGACCTGAACATCCAGGCCACCGAGGATCCCCCTTTTACCCCAGCATAAAAGTCAGCGTCAGTAGCGTTATAGTTCAGAGTGGGAAACTTACCTCTGCTTGACCTTGCTCTCCATCTCCTGATGTTCCGGGAGCATGTCAGGCTTCTTACTCAAGAGGTCCCACATAGCGCAATCAAGCGCCTCAGCTAATTGCTCTTTGGCCCTTTCAATCAAAGACCTTATCTTTGGAGCAATAGTGGGAAGCCCACTGAGAGCGTCTTCAACCTCTTCGGAATCGACGGAGAAGAATTTGAGTTTGGTCTCATTGGTCAGCTCCACAGTTACGCCGTCCTCGGTTTCAATTAGGCCGTAGGAAGGCTCCGGGGGGTTGAAGAAGGAGAGTTGCACGGAGTTTGCAGGTAATTCTGTCGGCATGGTTGTGGTGACTGGAAGACGGGAGGGGGGAGTTGGAGGAGTAGGAGGAATCTTCTGCTCATTTATTCCGACGTCCGAGGTGTTGCCGAGAGCTCGGCGGATAAGGGTAATTGCTAGGGCCTCCATAGTATGGTCTTTACCATAGTCTTCGGAGCTTTCACTAGAGGTATCCTCACACTTGGGTATAAAGGCGTCCTCCTTCCCCTCACCCTGGTTCCTGATTCCGTTCTCCCAGTAGCCTGCCCCCGACTCCGATAGCACAGCAGCTACGGGGGCAGTCCCGGGCTCGTGCTCGGAACCACCCCTGCTGGAAACATTTTCTTCCATAGAGACAAATGTCGACTCGTACTCGGAACCACCCCTGCTGGAAACATTTTCTTCCAGAGAGACAAATGTCGACTCATACTCAGAACCACCCCTGCTGGAATTATTTTCTTCCGGAGAGACAAATGTCGACTCATACTCGGAACCACCCCTGCTGGAATCATTTTCTTCCAGAGAGACAAATGCCGACTCATACTCGCTCTCAGAAAAACTCGCGCTCCTGGTTCTGGTGGTCATGATCGGTTGGTCCAAAGGGGGCCCATGGACAATGGTCAAAGAAATCTCGGAATTGCGAAAGCCCATAGAAACTTCTAAAGTTGTCACGGGGTCCCGACCTAACTCAATGCTTGTAACGCTTTGGGTGCCCAGGTTGTTATCGGGAGTCTGAGTCTGCTCCATAGGACCATCGTCTTGAGGAGGCATTTTCAGATATGGCCTTGCGCGTTAGACTGATATTGAATGTAACGGAGGTTGAGGTTCTTACTGGGTGTTTCAGGTGACGGAAATAGTGACAGTGCTACTTACTTTCGCGGCTGTCAGGAAGGTGATGGGTGAGGGGGGAGAGTGGGAAGGATGGGAGGATGGGCGCTTTATACCCGTGGGCAAGGTTGATCCAATTGATAAGTTAAATAGAATTCTAATCGGAATTCAATCTTCTATCACGTGTTCCTGTTATGAAAAATTTAGGACTGACTATTAGGTTTACTTGATGCAGCCATACCTCAAGCCCGCAGATAGTAAGTCTATCTGAGCCCGCCTTTGCTAAGTATGATATGGATACCTTTTATAATATTGTAAGCATTAGGGCAACAAGATATGGTACAAGGGTTATCTATCTAGTATCATAGAATCCTTAACAATAAAGCTTTCTAGAAGGAAGCTTGTTGATAGAATAGCAGGTTACAAGGGCCTTGCAGAATACTGAGGGACAGGTGGCTTCGGTCTGTCTGTCTGCATATGCTATTTGATACGAAAACCTATCTTTTGACTTGGTATGGGGAAGTGTGGAGTCTCCTGGAGTCTCCGAGCCGTTTGTCTTTTCGTAGATATCATGCAAATATAAATTACGAAAAAATAAACAAAAAACAACAACAGAGTACTTAAAAGTCTACAATAATTGTATACTTGACCAGAAACTACCAAGTCCCTGCGGTTCAAACCATGTACTAAGTGGAATTGAAGTTTAACTTCAATACAATCTATGGATATAAGATAGTAAGTGCATTAAACTCATGGAAGGCTAGTATGAGTAAATATTAATTCTATTGTATCATTCTTTAGTTTTAAGTATCACACTATAGAATGTTAAGTAACTGAGCCATACGTTATGCAGTTTAGTATTTCCTTCTTTAGAAAGAAGAAAGGCATAATACGGCGTAGAAAGAGGTTCCCGTAGCTTTGCTATTCTAAAAAAATAGGGGAGGGAAAAGAAAAAAAAATACAACGCTCTACGAGGGGAGGTAAATCTAATAACATAGAGTATAGTTCAATTATTTGGTACTCTATGTATGGTATGATGATTATGACGTTAGAAACTCATTGCAATTTGAGTGAAGCTGAAAACTAATTCAACCTGTTTTGGGCACTCGTCAGCCCTGGTTTTTACTTATTGGCGATCTCTGAAGTTTTCATGGATTTCTTGATAGGATCTTGATAGATAGGTGGTGTCTGAAAAAAAAAACCCCCGTTAATCTTTAACACAGAGCTTTACCCGAGAAGGTCTCTTTTTTCTCTTTATCTCGTGTTTAATCAAGCCATACATACCGTACGCCTGATCTGTAACATGAGGGATCGTTTTTTTTTTTCGGCTTCTCCCAAATAGTTAAGAACTCTTAAAACCTCAATCCTCTGTTTTGGTTAAGCGAAAAAAAAAAAGAAACACCGGAAGGGGCATTAATTGACAGCCGCTTTCGGATCCTACAGGCTACAGCCCTACTCTCCCTTTCACTAGCCCTTATTAAAATCTGTGCAGACGGAAGCCTTGTCTTGTCTGTTGGAACCTCACCAAGCCTCGACTCTCCTGCACAAATGGGAAAAAAATGTCACGCTCTACGAGTAGTCGGCAAGATCCTGCAAGATAATTTTCTGAGTACGTTTTGTACAACATGATAATTTACCTACTAGTATGATACGGTATCATATATACCTAGTATGCGCGAGTGAGAATATATGCCCAAGCCCCGCATTACCCCGCCAATCCCCGCTAACCCCGCAATTTGTGTTTGTGAGGGGAGTTGGTATCATAGAGTGCTGATTTCTCGCTGGGATCTCTAAACGCTTGCTTCAGGCAATTTATAATTCAACAATTCAACATCTGGTATCTATCAATGCCGGAGACCCTAGCTGGTTCAGATTTGGTTGGGGGGTCTTGACAGGGAGCTGTTGCTGCTGCGCGGCGTTGTGAGTTAGATTACTGTATTCGTATGATATCAATAGGGAAACTGTATTATGATACCAAATCAGGAATAGCAACGCAATGTGGGGCACTGGGAACTGGTAGGGTTTAATGATCTAAGAGATAAATACTGGCGTTAGGGTAGGTTGGAGTTTATAAAGGTCTTTGGCTCCTCTTTATTGGTTTCTGTCACGACGTCTCTGAATTGAATCCATCATACCTATGATATTTGTTCTCCTAAATATTATCCCGTTTTAACAGCCTTAATAAATTCATCCAAGTTTGCTACGATGGTTAAAGTTTTTGTTCTCGGAGCATCAGGTTTTATCGGCTGTGAGCTTCCCTGCGCGCTAATACTTCTCTCCTAAGTAATATGTCTAACTTATTTCCCATAGTCGCGGTTGCTCTTGCCCTTCGCCGCAATGGCCATAGAGTCTATGGCCTTGTCCGCGATTCTGCCAAGGGCGTCAGCCTAGCAATGCACGAAATCACTCCCGTTATAGGTGATATACTTCAATCTGCCTCCTGGACCTCTGTGATTGAATCTGAGGGGATAGACATAATTATTGATTCGTCTAATGTCGGTCGAGATTCGAACAAAATACTCACCGAAGTCAAAAGATTGGGAGAAGCTCGGTTGAAAGGACTTAAGCGGGGACCAAATCTTGGCTTCATTTTGTTCTCCGGAACATGGGTTCACGGAGACCAGCCGGATGCGAGGGATATTGTGAACGAATTGACTACTCCAACTCCTTTGGAGGTGGTGGCCTGGAGACCGGCCGCGGAGAACCAATTATTGAGTTCGAGTGATGTTTTGGATGCCGTAGTTATCCGACCGGCGATGCTTTATGGCGGTAGTGGGAGTATTTTTTCGAAGCTTATAGCTCCCATCACTGCGGCGGTCAAGGAAGGAGCTTCTGAAGTGAAGGTTTTGGGGAGAAAATTCGAGCTGGCAGTGATACACAAGGATGATTTAGCTGATTTTACCGTTAGAGTTGTAGAGAAGGTAGGCAGCTCTTTCCTTCTCTTTATTTTTTCAAGTTCGATAGAGCGGGGGGCTGACTTTCTGCAGATATCGTATGTGGGGGCTTTGTCATACCCACTTTTTGACATCACAGCTCAGCACGAATCGTACACGGAGATCATTGAGGCCGCGGCGAAGCATATGGGATTTACGGGATCTATCGTCTATAGAGATCCGGAAGGGCCTATGGCAGTGTTTGAGCGGGCGATTCTCACCCAGTTCAACACTAGCAGTGACCGGGCTAGGACTTATTTGGGGTGGGAGCCGAGGCATAGGGATATCATGGGGCAGATTGATGTCTATACCGCTGCTATGGTCGCAAATCAGTAACTGGGGAGTGGATGATGCCTTTTTTTATTTTTATTTTTTAGCTCTTACGAGTCAGGAATACAAAATCTTTGGTAGTTACCATATATCATTCGCCCATATGGTGAAGTTAAGTTATCCTTTACCAGGAAACTGGGAATATTTGGCCGTGGGACCGCGAGAGTGTATCATACTCGCGGATTGTGGGCGGCTGTCCGATAAGCCCCTTTCACGCTACGTCCTAGTACTTGTACATGTACTACTACTGTGCTACTAGTAGGACAGTAATTGCACCAGAGCACCACACAGCAATGATGCCTTTTAAACTAGCGCTAATAGTACACTATCTGTAGCAACTACCGGTACCGATAGTTTAAATAAGCATTATCTCCGGTGGATACGGGGTACTGTGGGTTACGTGCACATGGCAGACGGGTGGTATCATAGTTCAATACCGTATGTGTAGTTCTGGGACGATAGGGTTAGGGTTCTGGCTATCACGCTTTCACGGAAAATTAGGAACGCGTCTCCCGCATCGCGACTTCCCAAGGGTAGTTCCTTTCTCAATCCGAGCAAACAACTATCAAACATGGCGGCTTTTTTATCTCAACACCCAATCTCCTATCCACAAGGTCGAAAACGAATCTTCGAGTCTGTATTTCCACCTTCAGCATCCTCCACCTTACCGACACCTCTAGCCACCCCCACATCCTCGTTTGTGGCCCCACCATCACAACCATCACAACCATCGCAACCATCACAACCGTCGCAAACTCCTACTCCCTCTCACGGCTATAACACCCGGCATCATCCCAATGTCACACCCTCTCCAGCCCCCATATCATTCGCCCCTAGTCCAGCAGCTATATTCGCTAGGGAGTCTAGGGCGTGGCATCTGGCGACAACGTACCTCTCCTTCCCTGCGGATCCCTTCCCAGGTAGCCTTAGAGTATATGTGCAGACACACCAAGACCCGACGAGAGATGTGGCGGAAGCAATCCGGTATCTGACCATTCATCATGCAGAAAATCCAACCCCTGAAACAAGCCTCTTGGAATGGTACACTTGCGAAGTCCGAAGGCATTTTCTCGCTCACGTTCGTCCTGAGATATCGATTCCGACGGAATATAATGATGGTGCACGTTTATTGGAAGAAATACTGGGCCGATTGACTACCGCTCAGAGCATTTATCTGTTCCGTTTGAGAACCTACATCATTCCAGAGAAGAAGAAGGGGAGGGCACGCAGGAACCTGGACAGCTGGGACGAAAGCGACGACTCGAAAGTTCAGGCGTTCGTCAGGTCGTTAAATTCCATTATTTCTTATTCACTCCCCGACCCCGCTTGGAATAAGCTTGTCTACGAGGATTTTTTGGAGTTGTGTGGGACAGCAGTGGGCTTACCTGGAGGCGATGGCGATGATGACGACGACACGGTGCTTGACGACGGCGGCGAGGCAGGGAGCGATAGTATGAGTGGAAATGAGGATGTGTATCAGGGCGTGAGGTTAAGTCAGCAAAGCTTTGCTACGGAAACTGACTTTGATGGGGATATCGTTGTCGATGATGACGGAGTCGCGATTGGGAACCCCAGAGATATGGACGGGATTGATGAGTTTGATGTTTATAGGCAGAGGGCTGAGGAAAAAGCCGAGGAAAAGAGGAAGAAGCGGAAAGAGGAAAAGCCGAGAGAAAAGGCCCGAAAGAAGGTCCTGGAGATTTGGGCGGCGATGGAAAAGCTGGGTGTTGGCGGTGGCGGTCGAAGAGGAGAAAGGGTATTTGCAGAGGTAACAATTGGCCGCGGGCCCGTTGACAATTCGGTGCTAACGGATTTTCATACAGGTTATCAACACTCTCTTGACCACCTACATAAACGCTCACTTTGCTGGAGTTTGGGAAACTCCTTCCAAGGTTGGCAACGACTTGGATCGCTGGGTAGAGCATGTCCTCGGACAATTGGTGCTAGATGTCTTATTTTCCTCTAAATCAGTTAATTCTCCTGAAGGTTGGGCTGCCAGGCTTAAAAAACTAAGTCCCCGGGAGAGTTTTAGGGCTAGTCGTCAGAGTCTCGATAACCGGAAGAAAGGAGTGATGGAAGTAGATGCAGGGGCGGGTGTGGGAGAAGATGATATCAAGCGAAGGAAGGAAGACTTGGAGAGTTGGAAACGTATTGCCGTTGGTAGGCTCGGTCGGTTGAGGGTCGGTGAGCTGTTCGACATTGTCGTAGAGTGGCCAGAGAGTCTTGGAGGTGTTGAGGATTTAAAGTCTTATATTATATCGCCGCAAACCCGTCTGCACCTAACGACAACCTTTACTTCTGCTTTATCTACTCGTCTCCTGCATCCGGCAGCTGCAACCTCCGATATACTCCGGGCTTATATCTCTTTGATCCGTGCCTTCACCGTCCTGGACCCTCGTGGCGTCTTACTCGATAGGGTTTCGCGAGGTATTCGGCGGTACCTCCGAGAACGCGATGACACTGTCCGTGTAATAGTGAGAGGGATAATGTCCGAGTCACTACCTGACGGATCAGAAGATGCCGAGGATCTCTCAGAACTTGCTCAGGAACTTGGTAAAGGTATTCCGGCGACTCAACAGGGCGGGGGGCTTGAAGAACTTGATTACGACGACTTGTCTTGGGCACCCGACCCAGTTGACGCGGGCCCTGAGTTCCGAAGAAGCAAAGGTCTCGATGTAGTTGGAAGCTTGATTTCGCTATGGGAGAGCAAGGAAGTTTGGACGAAAGAAGTAGCGGCGGTACTATCGAGCAGGCTTCTTGGTAGCGATGAATGGCTCTTTGAAAAGGAAATCCGCACAATCGAGCTCCTTAAGCTTCGGTTTGGCGAAACAACAATGCAAGGCTGCGACGTCATGCTTAAAGACATTGCGGATTCTAAGCGATCGGACGCACACATTCGAGCCGAAGAAAATCTTAAAATAGCAGGCCTTCCGGAAATTCACACCAAAATCCTCAGCAGATTGTTCTGGCCAACAATGAAAGAGGATGGGTTTCAGGTTCCTTTAGAAATCAGGAAGCTACAGGAATGCTATGAGCGAGGGTTTGAAACCCTCAAGAAAAAGCGGAAGCTCACTTGGTTACAAAACATGGGAACGGTTGAGGTGGAACTTGAGTTCGAAGACAGAGTAGTCCAGGTTCCTGATGCTACAACTTGGCAAGCAGCGGTCATCCACCAATTCGACGAAGCGGAGCGATGTGATAAATGGGCCGTCCCGCAGTTGGCCGATAACCTGGAAATGGAGGAATCCTTGGTTAAGAAGGCAGTCCAATTCTGGCAGAGCAGGGATGTCCTTAAAGAAATTGGCAACGGCATCTACACTGTAATAGAGAACCTCGAAGAGCTCGAAGCCAACTCCCCTCCCCAGACTAGCGTTACTACAGCGGAGGAAGAAGAGGAAGTCACCGACGAAAAGAAACGAGAAAGGATGGTTGTTGAGCAATTTGTGGTTGGAATGTTGACTAATGGTGGAGCAATGCCTCTCGAGAGGATTTCGATAATGCTCGGACTAGTCCCTGGGGGGTTTTCCTGGGGACAAGAGGAGTTGAGGGAATTCCTGTCTCGAATGAAATTAGAAGGAAAGGTGGAGTATAAAGGGGGAAGCTGGAGGATTCCGAAGGCTTGAGTCTTTGCGGCGCTTGTAACATACATCATTGAGGGTGCGGGGGTTTAAATATTATAGATTCTTGAAATTATTGACCCTTGTGTTGCTGTTTCTAAGTTCCTGGTGTTTCCTACGCACTTTACCTCGATAGCATCAGCGGGTGTTTGAGGCTTCCGGCAATGGCCGGGACGCACTCTTGCCAGCCCTAGCCAGACAAAGCCTTGCACTCGGTGATATTTCTCCCAACAGGTTTCCCGAACATCAGCCACCACATGAACCCCCCGAGTGACAATCTATGATTCGTCACTCTTCCATATAAGGTGCACTCCAAAATGGGGAAGGGTTGATTCTACTCGCGCGCCACGGCGCCAGTATCGGAGTGTATAGCGTTTTGTTTCTTCAGCTTTAAACCTTCATATTTGCGCACAGTGGGTGAGTTTATAAAAGTTAGTTTGGTTGTAAGAGGCGAGGCGTGCAGGGCGTTTCGTCCCTGATTGTCCGGCTCCGATCGGCCGAGTCCGGGAGGCAAGTTAAAAACACTGGAAGTTCACGATACGAAGCGATAAGCACGGTAGGGAAATATTCTGGTACGGTATGGTGCTGAGGGAAGGGTTCCTCCTTGGTCGTTGCTGTAGTACTGAGGGGTTAATACATTTTTTTTTTAATATCGGATAGAGCAGTCGGACACGCCATGTTCGGTAAAATTTATGGTAGCTAACTATTCGGCAGGCACAGAACTAGCGGCATACGCAGCCGGCGGCATTACGTCTAGGGTAAGACGAGTCCAACCTGCCTGTCCCGCGGCCCGCTGTGAAAGTTGCCAATGCAGTTGGTAGTAGTGGTTCCATGTGTCCTCCTCTTGTCGTGCAGTACGACAGCTTGCCGTGAACTGTCCGGGCGCCATTAATAGGACCGGTATCGGGAAGCTTTTAATGTATCTCAATGAGAGTGGTAGGAGAGGGGGGGATTTATACATTGGTAACGCCTGGAGTGGGTGGATGAGAGAGGAAAGGAACTTGATGCATTTCCTAGCTGCATAAGCAGCTATCTGAGGGGGATACATAACTGCCAACACTCACACACACAACCCTCCATGCTCTAGCAGATGAGGGTAATCCTAGTACTACACACTAACAGACATGGCGTACAGGGAGAAGTAGATGACTCAATTTGTATTTTACTTTCTTAAATATACGGTTGGACCTCAGAAGTGGGGGGGGGGGGGGTAAGGATGCCATGGTTCAAACTTGGCTCTCTTTAGTGGTGCACTCTCTATACCCCTCCTCATGTACCATGTGACTCTCACATTGCATCTTTCATCCGCCTTCTTCTAGGACCCGGGTCGTTTTCATATATCGGCGGGTTAAATCCCCCTTGTTGATACGAGCAGAGCGTTATTTGCCAACTATTTTTACGCCTATTCGGGGGTCGGGTGGAGAGACTATCCTAGCTCCAAAGGGTAAAATAGGGGTTGGATCGCTATAGCTCATTCCATGGACGCGTTGACGATATGGGCATTAATCTTTGCCTTGTGGACCCTCGGCTCTTGTTCATTCATAGCAGCCAACGTTCGACTATTACTACCTAACAGTAGGGGAGAGAAAGGTTTATCGGTTCACACATCGGATAGGGCATTGCCGTGAGTGGAGGTGCTATGGTGCTAGTGGCTCATGCTTCAGGTGTGGGAGATGTGCCTGAGCGATCCCGCTAATTGACCATCAAGGATAGGGAATACCCGAGGGCGTAAGGTTTAGCGGAGGGGAAGTAAGCTATTGTGTGATGGAAGGGTTATCGAGATGTGAAGGGCCTGGGCAGAGAGAGGCTTGCTGCAGTGGGAATATAGTTTGTGTTTGCTTCCGCTTTGCGACCATTTCCCCACCATTTTTCTATTATCAGTTTCTTTCTCTCTTTCTCTCTTTCTTTTTTTTATATTACAAAAACTTGCCGCGTCAGTGGACCTCAGTGGCTGCGAGGTTGGTCTATTCAGCTTGACGCTAACCAGGATAGAAAAAAGGGTACGGCTACCCTCTATACGGTTTCGCGGTGGGAGGTGCACCGATTCCAATTATTTCGCCCTGGACACCGGGTGCGCGGGCGAGAAGATAGACTCTACCGTCTCAAGTAATCGGGGAGCGTTGAAGAGGGGACAAGACAATGGGGAAGATAGTCTAGGTGCAAACTTTTTCTTTTTCTATTTTTCTTTTTCCTTTAAGGCTCTATCCTATGTGGGTAGAACTGTGCCGACGCATTGAGGGGTGCTATGATACAATATTTGTGTGCGTGTCGAACACGCCCTCTATCGAGAGGGTTTTCGTAGTCTTGAAAAATAGGCTATCGTATAAAGGTCACTTTTATGTCATAAGAGTGGCTCGCCCAATAGTGCCTAAAAAAAGGGCCAGGACATCCATCAAAGACCATGCTGAGACTTATTTCGAAAAAGTCTTGAGTGATGTGAGTACACCTAACAGTGGATACAAAGTACGACATTTTTGACCTTGTCCCCTCCGGTGTATTAAGAATAGCCTATGTCTAGAATAGGTGGGGTTAGTGACCGTGCATGGTTCATGCATTGGATAAATTCGGAGTTTGGGTCTGAGGGTGATTCACGGTTTATGACTCCTTCCCTATGCTATTGGCATAAAGATAAAAATTCCGAATCTTATCCAAAAGACGCCTTTGCGAGTGCAGTCCACCTTAGCAAGTTTTTGTTCTGTGTGAGGGCAAGTCAGGCTAGAAACCCTCGGCATTGGGCTGGTTTCCCTACCGGTCCGTCTTCCATTGAAGTCAACGTTGTCTGGAGGTTGGTCTGAGGGGTTGGATTCCCAAAGCAAGTGGTGGAAGAAAGTGGAGTATGGTATTATACAGGAAAGGGGGGTTATATTAGGCAAACACATTCGAAGCGGGAACATAACAAGACATGACACTGAGCATCTCAGGAAAATAGCGTCACTTCGCTCCACTAAACGCAATGAGTAGAAAGGGCACCAAACGATTAACCGTTGGTATTATGATACAAAACAAAGTGTGTTCTTGCGGGGGTACGGCGCCAGGGGTGATTTCGATGGTGGGGGTTCAGGGGGAGCTGAGAAGGGGTGAAAGGAGCAGGGAGCATTCGGGGAATCGTAACGGATACATGGGGGGGATATGAAGGGCCCCAAAGAAAGGACAGAAACTGCTCTGATAAAGGGTATGTATATAAACTGCCGCGGAAGCTGTAAAAGCGCTTATGGGTAGAAAAGGAATGTAGTCGGATATTTCTTTGAGCTTAATCTACGCTAGAGATTGTGGTTGTTCGTAGTTGGAGGAGTGCTACAATGTTCTCATGCCCCTGTGTAGAAGCGATCAGGAGTGGTGTTCGACCGGTGTTGTCTGGTGTGTCGGGGTTGATGTCGTTCCGGGAAAGCAGTAGTCTCACCACCCCCTCATGTCCATCCCGAGATGCGCACCAGAGTGGCGTTCGGCCCTCGATGTTTGGTGTGTTAGGATAGACGTCTCTCCGTGAGAGTAGTAGCCTCACCACCGACTCATGCCCATTCAAGGAAGCCCACCAGAGTGGTGTTTCATCACGAACGTCTGACTTGTCGGGATCGACATCGTCCCGTGAGAGTAGGAGCCTCACCACCCTCTCATGTCCATTCAATGAAGCTCGCCAGAGTGGTGATTCGCCACGTACGTTTGGCTTGTCGGGATTAACGTCTTTCCGCAATAGCAGGAGTCTCACCACCCCCTCACGCCCGTTCAATGAAGCCCGCCAGAGTGGTGTTTCACCACGGATGTTTGGCTTGTCGGGATTAACGTCGTTCCGCAACAACAGGAGTCTCACCACCCCCTCATGTCCATTCCAGGAAGCACTCCAAAGTGGTGTTTCCCCATCGTTACTAGGTCTATCCGGATTGACATCGTTCCATAAGAGCAGTAGTTTCGCCACGGCCTCATGTCCATTACAGGAAGCCCACCAGAGTGGTGTTTTACCATAGTTGTCTGGTTTGTCGCGATCGATATTGTTCTTCGAGAGCAGTAGTTTCACCACTCCCTCATGCCCGTCCCTAGAAGCGCAGGAGAGGGGTGTTTTGCCATGAATGTTTGGCTTGTCAGGATCCACATCGTTTCGTGAGAGCAGTAGTTTCGCCACCCCCTCATGCCCGTTCCAAGAAGCCCACCAGAGCGGTGTTTCACCATCATTGTCTGGCTGGTCGGGATTGACATCGTTCCGTGAGAGAAATAGGCACACCACCCCCTCATGTCCATTCGCAGAAGCACGCCATAATGGCGTTTGACCATACATGTTTTGCTTGTCGGGATTGACACCGTTCCGTGAGAGCAGCAGCCTCACCACCCCTTCATTCCCTTTCCTCGAAGCACAAGAGAGTGGTGTTTCACCCCTGATGTCTGGCTTGTTGGGATTGACATCGTCCCGTAAGAGTAGTGCCCTCACCGCCTCCTCATGCCCATTAAAAGAAGCCCACCAGAGTGGGGTCTCATCATCAATGTTTGACTTGTCGGGGTTGACATCGTCCCGTGAGAGAAGCAGTCTTATAACCCCTGTATTCCCCTGGCGGGCAGCCCACATGAGTGGAGTAAAGCCCTTCCAATCTCCTTGGTTAATATCACCACCGCTGATCTCTATTAAAGCAGTCACAGCCTCGACAACTCCGAAGTAGGATGCGCAGTGCAAGCCGGTAAATAGTCGATAGGGAAGTGGGTGAAAATGATGACGGTGGTGGAAAAGTAATGTAGCACATATATGGCTATCGTACCGGTTTAATAGCTCAAGCGCAAGTGATTTCGCACGATCTGAGAGTCCCATTTTTGCGTGGCATCCCCAATAGAGAGAAGAATATTTGAGAAAGGGAATATCGCCAAGGTTCGGAGCGATATTAGCCGGAAGCCCCTTGACCTGCTCATAATTCAGATAGGCTAGGCATGACTCCGCAAGTGTTTCGTGGGAACCAGGCAGGGCACCGGCACGGGAGAGGTATTCTTGTAGAGTGTAATGGATGAGACGGACTGTCAATGTTTCCTTATCAACCGTTACAAGCCCTAAGCATGACGCTAGTACTGTATCCTGCGGCCGGATGTTCTCAG